CGCCATGCGATTGCGTGGTGCTTTCAAATGGGGTGTGGCGCCGACTATGATGAAGGCGACGTGGCTGCCGTCATCGAGGCTGCCGCCGACAATTCGATTCGAAAAGGTACGCGGTGTGGGGCAGTTTGTGTTTGATGGGTGTGTTTGCAGTGGTCGTGGATGGGTTTGAGCTGGTCGATCGCCAACGCCATGCGTCGCCCAAGAAATCAGGCCAGCCCAGAGTAGTGTCGATCCAGCCTCGCCTCGAGTTCTTGACCCAAACAGACATGAACGCTCAGTCCGGGTCGCTGCTGCAGTCGTCTTTGCACAAGGTGCGTTCGGTCGGCATGCCGCTTGGAATAGCACTGCACACTCGATGCAGATTGCTCAACTTGGGCAAGTGGAATCGTTGGAGGTCGCTCTGGATCGACACATCGACGTCAACGCGGTCGACGCGAATGGATGGACAGCATTGCACGTACGACTTAATCCTCTCTCCGTCGAAATCGACGGCCAGCGACGAAGTTGAGTGTTGACTTGTGGTAGTACTGTGCGGCCGACATGCATCATCTCGATGCCACAGCAGCCATTGCGACGACACTGCTCCTATGCGAAGGAATTGAGCCGGATGTTCGATCCATGCAAGGGCGAACCCCGCTTCACGTTGCTGCATCCACAGGGCGCGACGACGTCTTGCAGCTCCTCCTTCTTCACGGTGCAAATTCCCATTCCCTCGACGAGCATGGTATGTCCCCGCTGCATGCGGCTGCTCAATCGGGCCACGTATCCGTGGCGGAGAGGCTTCTGTTGCATTCCGCCGCCAACGACTCACCAAGATCCACGCGGCGCAGTCGGCACTCGACCACCAAGCAAAACCCTCTCCATCTCGCAGGTAACACACTGACAAATCTGCGCATGCAAAGGACGGTGCGAATAGCAAGCGCTGGCCACAACAGCATGGTACAACTATTGTGTGCGTGGGACGCTGAAGATCGCCAGTGGACCGATGAAAAGGACTGCCACGGTCGTCTACCTGTGCAACTCGCTAAGACAAAAGCCACCCGCGATGCATTCGTGGTAAAGTGGACGTCATTACGAGCTATGGGGCAAGCAAGGAGCCTGACGCAGCCTGCGTAGAATGTGCGGCAGGCAGCATTTGAAGGAAACCCCGATGCATTCCAAGCGTGTCTGCGAACGTGCTGCCGTCACGATCTGGCGCCAACTCCACGCACGCACAAATCCTTATTGCATCTTGCTGTACGCTTGTTTGTGCAGCGGATTCTCAACGTCGTGGCCAGGTGATGGGGTTTACACGAGAAGTCGCGACTCAAGCAACCATCCAACGGTCTACACCCGATGCAAGTCTTGGAAAACGTGAAGCGCGATTTGGCCAGACGATTCGACTCGCATGGCGTGCTTTGGCCGACGTCCAAGAGCGTCCGCTTGCTGGAGACGACGTGGGCATGACCCCGCTCATGTTGGTCGCCGCCACTGGAAATGTACGACCACCGACTGCATGGACGTCATGCTGCCGCGACCGTAGGTATTTCTCGCCCAGGAACTCGTTCGAGCAGCACGACAGGATTGTTTGGAAGCGACGGACCAACGAGGAAACACTGCGCTCCACTACGCATACGCCTACTGCCACGTACGTTTGAGCGGCGAGGGTTGACGCGCTGAGCGTTCCCGATAGAGTTCGATGGCACGTTGGATTGAAGGCCAAAGCGTCGACCTTGCGGTGAGGCACTGCCAGGAATCCGTCGATTCACAGCACATTCATCACAGGCGGTGGAAAATAACGACCAGCGCACGCCGTTGGACGTGTCTGGATTCCGCCGTAAAATTCACCCCGAGCCCGTTCGCGTCGGGTATCATGACAAGACGAAAGACGACGATGCCAAAGATGATTGACGAAACTGCGGGGGTATCAGAGCGGCACGTCGGGCTCAGTCGCGCGATGCATGCCTCGTCGTTACCGCATGCACACGACATGATCGGGCCTTCGCCACGAAACGTATCAAGCCGACTGCTTTGGAGCAGAGCGTAGTCTTTCTCTGTTGCATGACGGGGTGCCCCCACGATTCATGCCATGACATGCACATCTTGCCATCGTACGAAGAAGGGGAATGGCTTGGATTGGCGCCACTTGTTGTGACGATCGCTGGCATCGTGGCAAGCAAGCGGAAGGCTATGCATGGACGAGTGTGATGGCGCCGCCGTTCGATGCGGAATGCCTTGGCGACGTCGTCAACGCAATGCGTGTAGTAGTAGGAGTAGTAGAAGAAGGTGGAGGTGAAAGGATTTTCTCGTGAAAACGTATGGCATGTTGGTGAGTCTACAGCACTTGCGAGCGGTGGCAGCGTCGCCTTCTGGATCCCATTGAAAAGGTACCGACCTTTACGACTGCTTCTGCGGCGCGACTGCTCTTCATACCCCCCCCAACCAAATCGTCGAGCACCTTCCTCAAGGGTACAGCTCGCCATTGCTCGTGCATCATGGATTCCTATCCAAAGTCGCTCGGACCACGATGGTCGATGTTCAACCCTGCATTCGAATCTCAAGATTCAATGCGAGTGAATGGATGCATCCATGGCGAGGCTTCCAATTCAACCGTCCCAGATCCTTCATGGAGCGAACTCGTGCCATCTCGACCCCCGACGCATGGAACGATCTCAACCGCTTATGTCGCTATTGCCTGCGTTCTCCTTCGACCTCAACCTGGCGAAGGAAGAGTTGTCGGAATGCATGTGTGTGCATGCGAAATGTGTGTCGAAATTCGGTTTTTTTCGGTCGTAAAATCGATTGTATATCCGTCTGGCACTGGGACAAACATACCTCCTCACGTGTCTGTCACAACGTGCTGACGTACACAACGCTCGAGCGCTCCATCGATTCAGGTATCGACGTGCCGCACTCCTGCAAAGCAAGTACTTGACTGAATTCTTGCGGCAACAAGGCACAACACATCCTCGGGACAGACAAACCAACCATTCAACTGTCATGGATAGCTGGGTACAGCTTCTCCGAGCGAACGAACGCGAGACGTCAACAGTGCAAAGTACCCAAACAAGGTGAAATAGATGGGAAAAATCCCATAGGATGCGCCGTCAACGCACAGCCCTCCTGACTCACTACCAATCCCTGTTTGCATCAGACAAATCGAACGGCACTTTATGAGGGTTGCCATTAAACCCTGCACACTTATTACATAGACGACGACCTGCCCATGGCACTGGGATGGCGACATGGGCGGCGCATGGTGGTCGACCGGACACACCCCAAGTGTTTCGCCGTTTCGTGAGGATTTTGCCTACTCCTGATCCACCGAGCGTGCCCATCGTTCAGGTTGTAGTTGGTTTCTCCCCATTCCGAGGGTTTGTCCCGAGATTCCTTGTATTCAATGAACCAATCAAACCATTTAACACATGCATTGAAAAACGCGTTTTTCGTAGAAGAGCGTAGTGTTGCTGGTCATCCTGCTTCAGTCACTTCCCAACGAGCCGCCCGTGTGCCAGAGCAATCGCCGCCGCCGTCGTCACTGCCGCCGCCGCCGACCCCTCCGACACCAGCATGAGCACCAACGAGACCCGTCACATCAACGACCCGATCGGCGACGCCATGCAGTACGAACCCGAGCCAGAAACGAAGACGATCCTTGTCGTCAACGACAACCTGCCAACTAACATCAACGGCGTCGTGACCGTGTTCAAGAACATTGAGCGCATCGCACTGCGCGACGGGTACAAAATTATCTACATGAACCCGACCGAGTTTCCCCATTTTGACTGCCCCGGGTACCCCGACATCAAACTGTCGCTCCCGTTCGGAATCGACGACAAGATCGCCAAGATCAACCCGGACTTTATTCACATCGCGACAGAAGGGCCACTTGGTCTTGCCACGCGCTTCTACTGCGACAAGCGCCAAATCGGATACAACACGGGCTACCACACGAAAATCCCCGAGTACCTCCAAGTCATGTATGGCATCCCAGAGAGCTTTGGGTACGGGTACCTGCGGTGGTTCCATCGCAACTCGGGCCGCGTGCTCACGACGACCGCCACGATGGTATCAGAGCTTGAACACCACGGGTTCCTCAGCTACATCAAACCGATGACGTTTGGTGTGGACCGCTCCATCTTCAAGAGTTCACTGCGGCAGCAGGACAACCCCAAGTTCAGCAACTTGAGCCGCCCGATCCTCCTTAGTGTCGGACGTGTTAGCAAAGAGAAGGGTCTGGACGATTTCTGCAGCGTCAAGTACCCCGGCGCGACCAAGATTGTGGTCGGCGATGGCGCGTACCGCAAAGAGTTGGAGCGCAAGTACCCCGATGTGATATTTGCCGGCTTTCAGACGGGCGCAGCACTTGCCGAGTACTACGCGCATTCAGATTGCTTGGTGTTCACAAGCCGAACAGACACGTTTGGAGTCGTCATCATCGAAGCGCTCGCGGTGGGCACTCCTGTCGCTGGGTACAACGTACCGGGCCCCAAGGACATCTTGGAGCCGGGAGTCACGGGGTACATGGGCGCCAACATGACGGACAACATTGCAAAGTGCCTTGCGCTGGACCGCGCCAAGGTCGAAGACGCCAGCAAGTGCTGGTCGTGGGACCAGTGCTGGGAGATTTTCCGGCGCCACTTGATCAAGCGCACCGAGCGCCTCACGTACGACTACTCGGTGTAGCTGCACGGCCGGGAGGATGCTCGTGAACGTATTAATATAAGGTGTGTTGTATCCCGGTTGAATACTTGGACGAATATGCATGCGCAGCGAGCATAGAAGGTAGCGATCAATGGAGAGTGCCGTCGAAGGGCAAGAGGATGATGTGAAGGCGCTGTATAGCTGTCATGCCTCCCCCGCTGCTCGAAGAACGCATCGAGTCCAACGGCGGGGGTTGGGTCGACAACGCCAGGTGATGCCGTGGTGGAATGGATGTCAACGCAGGCAACTACGCTACATCGATGCGTCCGCTGCAGCTGCACAAGGAAGGTACAGGAACACTGGCTTCGAATACGAGCCATGAATATACTGGTGGCATCCCATCCACGCTCCAAGACTCGACCAAATCGGCCGATCAAGCACCACTACCAAAGTTGACCGGCCGCATGTCGTTACCGACCGTCGATTCTATCACAGAGCTCGTGGAAGCCCGTTTCGAGTACAGACCTAAAGAACGTCAATGGGCATGCTGGAAGACTAGAATATTCTTGAGTGGATGCCTCATGCGAGAGCTGTCTACGACGACGTCGGGCGCTCGACACCTGCCATCGCCGCAACTCCGCCATGGAATCGACCAAATTGCTGTCGCGGGAATTCCGGACAGTCGAATTATCCGGAAACTTGTCCCCGCCGCAATCCAAAAGCAATCGCAGACGTCGAGCAGCAACTTCCATGAGCGACTCCCCGCCGCCACCGCCACCGCCTCCTCCTGCATCACCGAAAGAATCAGTAGCGCCTCCACCACCTCCACCTCCGAGCGATGCCCCAACACCTCCATCTCCTCAACCTCCAGCGGCAGCAGCATCCGGACCTCCACGTTTAGGTCGATCGAGTTCGATCGTGCCGGCGCCATCGTCCAAACTTCTCATGTATGCTCCGTTGGACGCACCAGACGATTTGGATCGGAACTGGGTGTGGCATTTCATGACGGCACAAAAGCACCTGGTCCATCCTGGGGACCTCGCGAGCTACGACAAGTGGCAAGCAGTCGAGGGATTTGAAAAGCACACGGCAATCGTGTACGGCTTGCTCACGGACCACAAGGAGATGTACTGGGGATTGCTTCAGAAGCTCTGGGCCGCAAATACTGCTCTGAAGGACAAGTCGTTGCAAGGACTCCACGCGCTCATCGACATTCGTTTCCTCCGCCTCACGTCTTCATGCCGCGCCAACTTGCTCTGGCTCCTTGAGCAGTGCATCCGCGACGGCATCAATGTCGACGCGCTCTTGATCGTTTTCATGCGGTACGCTACTGCTTAGGCCCTTCTCGCCAAACTGATGACAGCGCATGGTTCCAGGTACATCGGAGTCCCGTTCGGCGAAATCGAGCCACAGCCGCTCGAGTGGCTCGTGCGGGTATTGAAGTCCCATGCGATATGGGATTCCATCGTTCCCCACGTTACGTTCACCCTGCTGAGCATCGTCCCCGATCTCCACACGGCAAAACCCGTGCGTCGTCGCCCATTCATTCCGTCGATCCCTTCCGAGGATTCATTTGGCTCTTCATCGTTAGGGTCATGCTATAACTACTCAAGTGATCCAGCAGGTGGTGGCGCTGCACGCCACCCATGCAAGCGCGATGGCTCTGGGCGGGCGCGAGCTCGTCCGACTTCTGGACGATGCGCGGGAGGTTAGGCCATCCTCGACATTACACTCGAATCCTGCGTGTTGATCGCCAGCTACCTGCGTTAGATTCCTGAGCTGGCGCCGATTCTGCAGGCAATGCAAACCAGTCCGACGCCGCTGCTTCCAACGCCGCCCAAATTCGTTGTGTCCCGTCTGACATTCAAGATGCACGAGCAACTTCGATTTGTCCTGGACAAAGTCGCGCACGTGTCGGCCCATCGGTACCAAAAGTGGTTCCAGGCATCGTTCTTGCACGTCCAGCCGAGCGACGGCCGCATTGCCGACATCGTCCGGTGCGTTCTCGCATGACGTGTCCTGCGGTTGTTTGCCCACTGTCTACTTTGTAGGTTTGTGTGCGTCGTGCACCAACCGACCAACCAGGCCGTGGAAGCAAAGATGACGCCGCGATACCACATCCTGGGCTGGCTGCTGCTGCTCAAGTACGCGCGCTCGGACGCCACTCGCGCCTCTTTGCTGCATTCCACTGATGGATGGCGTTGTTGTAGCAAAAGCCCGTCGGCCAAGGCCCGCGTGCTCCACGCGATGTTTTTCGACTTTTTCAACTACTCCCAAGACGTCCCCGTGCTGCATTTGGAGCCTGCGATGATGCTACTCGTACGTTCGATCTCCAAGTGGCGCAGCGCTCGCAACCTGCCGCTGTCCATAGCTGAAATCGACCAAAAATCGAAACCATGCCATGGTCCAAGACATCGTGACCTTTCTCGTCACCCGCATGGAGCAGTCGCCAGACGTCGCGGCCAAGGTGTCTGCCGCCATCTCGGCGCTCATCAAGGTCGGGATGATGCGGAATCTCGTACCGCTCGTCGACTACCTCCACGAGTTCAACCCGACCCTTGGCAAGCAGTGCCAAGACTTGTTGCCGGCGCACTTTAACGCACGGCCACCAGGTGCCTGGCTACGTTTTGAACGATGTCGCGACGATTGCTCAGGTCGCGACCGACTCGGTAGGAAATACCGCGCATTCAAACGTGACGGCATCGCCAAACCACTCGAACTCGCCGCTGCACAACGCGTCACTGCCCCCGCGTACGCACGCGTCGCCGCACTCGTCGCCGCAGCACTCGCACTTGACGTATCCACGACCGACGTCGTCGCCGCAGCGGCCAAACGTGTCGCCCAAGTTTCCATCTCCGTCGTCTTCCCCGACAACTTCGCCGAACCAGCGGCGGGCTCCCACGTCGTCGCCGTCCGACGACGGCGATGCCGGAGCCAACTGGACCGAGCAATCGTTCCTGGACGATCGAAAAGCTGGTCAGCTGTCGCCCCATCGGCCCGTGGAGGTACCAATTGCTGCGACACCCACGACCGTCCTGGTCATCCCCGAGTCGTTGCAAGCATTTCAAGACGTCGTGGTTGCGCTGCAGCTAGTTCAAGTACGGTGTTTGGATGGTGCGTGCGGCGCTGACTGCGTGTAGAGCGATGTGGAAAAGATGATTCCAGCGTTGGCCCACGTCTTGTCCATGTGGAGCCACTTGCCCAATGCCGTGGCCATCAGCGCCGACCTCGGTGGCCTCGTCTACAAATGCTTGGAGCGGTCGTTTCTCACGTCGACGACTATGCCGCAGTTTGTGCTCGATCAGTGTTTGCAACGGCCGCCGCAGCTGTATCTGCCCCTCTTGCACGTACGTCGAGTCGGAGACGATGCATGGCTTACATGTCGATCCAGGGCATGTACAAGCAAGACTCGGTGCTGTCGTCCCGCCTCCTCGCCCACTGCTGCATCCACGACAACTTGGCGCCGTACGTGTCGTTTTGCGAAGTCCTCGGCCAAAGCGACATCGCGCATGCCATTCTCCAAGACGTTGGGTTGTGCGCGCACTTGGACGAAGCGTGTGCGCTCGCGTGCTCGCTCTTGCAGGTAGAGAGAGACGACGCACGTCCTGGACATTTACTTGTTTCACGATGGCGTTGTCGCCGCTGCCTGCTCGTGTCTCGAAATGTTTGGTGGCGTCGACCGCATCGAGTGGATCGATTGTTTTTTTCGTCGGTTTAACTATCCATGGCGCAGGTGCCGTATGCAGGAAATGTCGCGGTTGAAACCACATGCCTTCGCGTCGTACCATATCTGTTTCAACATGCCCCTGCAGCGTACATGCCGCGCGTCGACGCCCTCGTTCGCGCGCTTGTGTCGGTCGCGACGCCGACGATGCTCGCCAAGCTCAGCATGCGCTTGCTTCTCAAGGACTTTTCCATGTTTCGCGACCACCAAATCACAAACGTGCTCGTGAGCTCGCTCCAGTGGAACTCGTGGGAGCAGTGGGGCGTATGGGAGCTCGTCGCGTCCGAGTGGGAGGCCAAGAAGAAAGACAAAGGTACCGACGTCCGTGGCTGCCGGCGTCATCACTCACGGCGTTTGCAGCAACTGTGGCCGCGCTGCGAAAAGTGCTCGCGTGCGTCGACCCGCACACGCACGGCGAAGCTCTCAGTGGCATCTTGCGGCTGTTGGTGCAAGTCACGCCCGACATGGCGTTGTTTCATTGCGTGATCAAGCTGTCGGATGCATTCGATCCGTTTCCATGCAGGTGCGTCTGGGAATTGCAAACGGTATATGGCTGGCATGCCATGGCCGTGTGTGCCTCGCGTGGGGTGGACAGTTTGTGAGGTTGGCATGTGCGACGTAGTGTGCTATCGATCTGGTCAGACAAGGCGCTCGCGACCGTGCAGTCGTTTCTAGTCGTGGTATTGCGGGAAAACCAGGGCAAAGATGCGCTCGACGTGTGTCGGCAACTCAACAAGGTGCCGTCGACAAACGCATTGCTCCAAGACTCGGACATTCGAGCGGCGCTGCTCTCGTTGCTCGGAAACGATCCCACGACGGGCGAGTCGTTTCCCGTGCTGTTTGGACAACTCGCGTCGGCAGCGGACACGACCACCGCCACGTCATCGCACGGCGCCCCCGTCGCCAAGAAGCCTCGCCTTGACCCGCCACCATCGCTTTAACTTCGATGACATCGTCTGCAATATCTCCTAGTGCCGTGACCGACGCGCATCTCTCGCCTTGATTGTGTCGCATGAGACATTCGTAGCATGTCCCGCTTGGCACGAGTTGGAAGCCCGACCACGTCCGCGCGCATCTTGGCACGCGTTCACCGTGCACTGGCGGCAGCAGAGCGATGGCATGCACGAAAGGAACGATTCTGTCTTGTTATATTGAGGGGCGACAGTCGAGCTATGCCGTGTGCGGCCTTCGGTCGACCATCGCGAGCTCGTGAAACTTGACGACTTCGTCGTAGATGCGACCTGGTCACAGGCAATGGTCAGTACATCGTCGCAAGCATCGTCGCGCCGCACGTTTGTGTTGGTCCCGAGTAAATTGATGGTCGTCGTTTTCGTTGGGCATGTCGAGGGGCGTTGCCGTTGTGATCTAGTTCGACAGTCCGTCCCATGCTGTCGTCATGCATGCCGCGAACGTACCTCATGCGAGTGCAAGTTGGGGACTTGCGCCAAGAACGGATGCGCGAGGGCTTCGTCCACCTGATCCCATCGTCACCATGGCGACTCGATCGGACGCACGCACCGTCAAGCGCTTCGCGGGATTGAATTGCAGCAGCTGACCAAGCAGGTCCAGCGCTTCCGGGGGCGCGCCTGGGTATTTCTACACACGTTCGATGACACCGACGGAACAACGGTTGAACGTACGTCTTGTAAATTCACGGCAACTTTCTTGGGGATTTGGCGCAAGAGCGGCGCAAAGGTCGTAATGTGCGCAATGTCGTCCTCGTCCGGCGTCCCAATCACGTTGAAAATGACAAACAGTTGGTCCATTTCTTTCTTGTACGTTTGTGTGTCGGTCGGGCTCAGCGTCGTGCACGACCGTCCTGGGAAGAGCGGCTTCCGATTCTGCCACGGGAGACCCATATCGTGATCTCGCCATGTCGACGACGACGCGGGCGTACCAAATAATGCTGGCAGTTCTCCGCTTGCATGTTGAGCAGCTCGCCAAAGATGCACCCAATGCTCCACATGTCGACGGCTCGGCCGTAGTCCTGTTGTCGGCGCCCATGACCATGGACCATGCATCACGGGGACACTTTACCTGGAGCAAGATGAGTTCAGGGGCCCGATAATACCGGGACACGACGTGTTTGGTCATTTGGCGGTTGTACTACGCAATGTCAGAGCCACCGTGCGATGGATCGTGCCAAATGGAGCCATCACGGAAGCTGCCACTCACACACGGTCCAGACGACGTGATGTGCGTACCTTGCGCGTGATGCCGCTCGCGCCATGGTTTCCTGCGGTCACGGGGGAATCGGAGGCATGTTGGGCAGCCGCGTGTTCCGCGGTCAGGTCGCCATTCATGTCTTTGTCCGTGGCGGGATTCGTCGCCGTCGTTTGGTCCGGGAGACACACTCGAGCGAGACCAAAATCGCAGATCTAGGCCGCGACAGTCATGCAGGTACAGATGGGACGGTCGAGAGTACCTTGAGGCTGAGCGTCTCATTGAGGAGGATGTTGGCTGGTTTCAGGTCGCGGTGGACGATGGCGCATTCGTGCATGTGCTTGACGCCTTGCAACAGTTGATGCAAAAACACTTGAACGTGACGAATGTTGAGGTACTGCGGGAGGCAAAATAACTTTTGCAGGTCCGTGTCGGCGTACTCAAACACGAGGTACAGATCGCGGAACGAGTCGTAGTCCTTGGGCGGAATCACGTCGATCATTGTGACGAGGTTGCTGTGGCGCACATGCCGGAGGATGTAGATCTCACGAAAGAGGCGAATGCAGTCCTGCGCACGGTCAAAGACGTTGATCACGCGCTTGATGGCTACGCGCGTATTGCGGACGGTGTCGTATGCTTCCGCCACCTACACGACCACATGAGCACACAAGAGAGAGGCCAAGGCAGGTGGTTGTACCTGACCGTACGAGCCTTGGCCCATGGGCCGCACGAATTTATACTGGTCGCCACACTCCCACGTGTCAAAGTTCCACAGGCGCGCGGTCTGCTGCTCGAGCATCGCCACGTCGTTCGTGGACGGAGGTGGCGCACGCGAAGGAGGAGGCGGGCCACCGTTGGTCTGGTACGACGATGTCGTTGGGTACGGGTGCGACGACCTTGGCGGCGGCATGGGATGGTGATCCATGCTGGTCTTGCGACGCTGGAGTGGGGGATGATGCATGTCTGGCGACAGAGGAGTTGGCGCCATATACGCGGATGGACCGTACGGGGTTGGGGCGCAATACGTGTCGTGGTCGTGCTGGTTGTTGCTACGCATCATGTGCATCGTAGGGGACGGCGTTGACGTTGTGCTGGCAGGCTGGATGTGGTCCGACGACTTCATCTTTTTGATGCCGACATGCACTCGCGACGACGCTGTCACTGAGGGGACCACAGGAGGTACGTGTGTAGACTCCTTGTCCCCTGACGGCATCGAGTCTTCGGAAGCGCGGCGCTTCGATGCTGTCTTCGCCATCACGTGACCTCCGTCCGTCAATCCGCCGTGGAATAGCGCTCAAAAGAAGTTGGACCAGGCCGCCAGCTGGTGCCCAATCAGCGACAGGCGAGGGAAATCACTTGACATTTGTATACCTGCGCATGTTTCATTCACACGCCGCCCTATGGATGGAGAAACGAAATTGCATATTTGTTTCGCCGACACATACCATGAAACAGTAACGTGGACCAGATCATGTCTATCATTTCGATTCCATACTCGAATCAAGTGTATTTTATGCTGACTCGACAATTCGAAGCATAAATCGCACCTGACAACACTGCGCCGCATACAGTACAATCTGTCTGCTGAATCCTGAAGGGAATAATGCACAGGCGCGGCGCGCGCCACGATGGCCCCGAGCTAGGGTACGAAGGAGTGGGCTGTGCGAGGGGTGGAGGACAGATCGGTGTCGTACTGGTGGCCCCTGCACCCGCGCGACGAGCGTTCCGCGTGGGCCATGCTGTTTTGGCGACGTCATGTTAGGCTGAACGCTCACACACACTTGCATGGAGCGAGGAGGTGAATGGCGTGAAATGGAGGATGGCATTCAGAGCTGATTGAAAAGTGGCATTTACGACAATGTTGACTCGATGGAGTGCAAGCGCTGCCGACGACAAGGAGTACTGCAAAGGAGGACCTGAACAAAGTCTCGTCCATGGCGTCCATTTGCATTATGGCATGTCTACCGAGTCTGCATCATCCCGTTCGAAGTGCATGACGTGTTTATTCGCCCTTGATGCACGTTACAATCCTAGACACGAGTTGGGTTGAGCACAGGCACGAGCAAAACTGGAGTACCAGTCGAATCCTTCGAACAGGCCCGACCCTTTCGTCGCCGTAGTTTCCTTGATGCTCCACTGTCGATTCCGAATGTCCGAGAGTCCCATGGCTTCCGAGATCTATACGCTCGTCGGATGAGACGGTGGGATTGTTGGCGGGACCAACGAACCTGTGCAGCGTTGAGGGCACCTCGTTGATCTTGTTTGTTGGCAAACACAAGCAAAATCGAGTCCTTAAGCTCTTCTTCTTCGAGCATCGCGTGCAATTCCTGCTTGGCAATGTTGAGTCGATCGATGTCAGCCGAATCGACGACGTAGATGATCGCGTCCGTGTTGGGGTAGTAGCACCGCCAATACGGCCGGATGCTCGTTTGGCCACCCAGGTCCCACACTTGGAACTTGATGTTCTTGTACTGCATTGTCTCTAAATTGAACCCGATCGTGGGCACAGTTTGCTCGATCTCCTCTGCTTGGAGACGGTCTACCCTTCGTCGGCGGCGTCGGTCAAGATGGTTCATATCGAGAGAGTTCAATGCAACGTACATAAGATAGTGGTCTTTCCAGCATTGTCGAGGCCCAAGATGAGGATGCGGACCTCCTTGCTCCCGAAGAGCGACGCGAATACCTTCGAAAACAGGATCCCCATGCCGCGCCCGCCACGTGCCGCGCTGCCGCCGAAGAATGAAAAATGCCGAGCACGAATTCCTCGCCCAATCAAATTGCGAGGGCGTCGCAGGAGAAATGTGTACGGCGACCACAGTATTATCTCGCAAAGGTATTACAATTCGATTTGTCAAATTTTATCCTAAATACCGTCCTTTCTCACCTGAACTTCTATGCATTTACATATGTCATGTACACCCTCCCATTCGAGTTTCGCTCAACCGACGCCACGATCGCCATGGGCAGCACCGCCGCATGCGGCGGTTGAGCAGAAGCAGTTCACGTTCGACGAGGGAGCTCAAGCTCACGAAAGAGGATGAACTATCTGGCGTAGGAGCAGCTGCTTGTTGCGACGATGAATAGTTTGGAGGTCTTTTTACTTTGTACGACGTACCCTTGCCGTGGAATGTCAGGCTCACATTCCAGAGTTGGTTTGAGCTCATATATCTTGACGACATGCCAACCGTTGAAGCATGCTAGAGCTTAAATATGTGAGGCTCTAGGACTTTATGACGACACGTGAATCAAGCACGCAGTGGCCAACTCAGGCTGCTGTCGCAAACGTGTCGCTGGGCTACACACCTCGTCTGACCTTCGTTTCATCGACTGCAGCGTTTGCAAGAGGTTAGCAAGGCGTGAACCTTTTGGGTCGGAGCTACCCAGTCAGCGAAATGTCCCTTCTAATGACTGGCATCGTTCCCCATGGCACTTTGGACTGGTGGCCATACTGCAGACTACGCAGTCACGAGGTGGCAATTCAGATAGTCGATCGCACTGAAGACTGCCATATTCTCTGATTGCCTCTCGCGTGATTGCACTGGGGTCTATCGACGCTAGAGCAGTCGACTTGGTCCCCCAGCGCTTACACCGCGTGGATGCTAGCTACGTCTCGATGGACCGGCATCATTCCACCGCGCCGTCGGAATTTTGTGACGGTTCCGACTGCCGACAGTTCAACTACACCAGCCAATCATATGACAAGCGTTTCTAATTTCCACCAATCAGAGCGCGTAGAATGTTTCGGTCACGGTTGATTTTCTGGGTGTCTAAGTGTCATTTTCGAATTGGCGCCACGTCGAAGCACACCACAGCGATCTAATGCCGTCGGTCTTGCGTCCTGTGCATACCGCGAGGCGACCCCACCCTGCGAACCAAGCACACGCGGGCGTGGATACGTCAAAAGCGGCTCTGCACCTCGCCACGGCTATCTTGAACAACCAAGTCGAGCCCCAAGTTCCAACATCGTTGCAACCTCCGTTATCCATTGTCCATCAGGTTCCTCAAAGCGGGTGTACATCCTCAATCACATCTACGTCAAGCAATGGCGAACCTTTCGGAACAATCCTGGGAACCTTCGAAGGCGTCGACGTCCGATCATGTCTACTTCCCGACAACAAGAAAGCGCTAGACATGGACAAAGCATCGTATCAAGGATTTTGCACCGGGGTGCAATGGCAATGCGTCGAACTGGCACGAAGATTCCTTCTGCAGCATTACCACGTCACATTTGACTGCATCCCCACAGCCCACGACATTTTTGACTCTGCGGTTTTCCGACACGCCTCGTCGCGCGCGCTGGTCCGAACGCTGAGGGTACCTCATGGCGTCGCCACGACCCCGCCGGCGAAAGGTTCGTTGCTGTTGTGGAAATCGGTGGGTCGTCATACCCCGACAGGCCATGTCGCAGTTGTCGTTGACGCCACAGACACCCACGTGGACATCATCGAGCAGAATTTTTATCACATGAAGTGGCCGGAGGGGCGGCGATATTCACGGCGACTCCCCGTTCTACCGTCCCCCGACGCGTATGTCCTCGCGACGCAGTTTGACGACGAAGAGTATCATGGTTGGGTCACAATAACGTAAATGCTTCAAACGATACCAGTGTATCAGCTACACCAGTTGGTCAATCGGCGCCACGACGTCCGTTTGAGTCGGGTCGCTGCGAAAGATAACGTGGGTAGGATCACGGAAGAAAGCATGTACAATGTTGATGCCTCCACTACGACAACGCAAATATCAATAACAAGCGACTGAGGCGACGAGGAATACCTGATGCCGATGGCAGTGATGAGTGAGGGCAGGAGGAAGAACGAGAACACAACTAGTGTGGCTACGATGGAGTACTTCATGAATGTGGTGGCGTACGGAGGATTGGATTGAGTCCAAATACCTGCAAGCATGGCGTAGACGAAGTGTTCCTCTTTGAATCCATTCTTGTTCAAATGCTGAAGATGCTTGCGCTGCACGATGAACGCTCCCCATGCACCACCGGTGGCAAGGACACACAGCAATGACCAAGGATGAAACACGAGCGTACAGAACAGCACGACGGTGAAGAGCATGATGTAGTTGACGACGAAATATTGGAGGTTGTGTTGCAGTCGCGGAGCAATCTGCGGCGGCGTCGGGATGTTGAACGGATGCGCTTCACCAACTCCCATGCAGCTGCACATTCGTCAGTGATGCGTTGTCCTCGGAACACGGAGAAAGGAGATGAACACACGTACACAAACACATTCCGAATCGCGTTCACGTGAATCCTCTGGCGAGCAGCACTCACAACCTGTCCCAAGATGCTGTGAATCTTGATGTCGTCCGAGTCCTGCTGCACACACGTTGCGGCCGCGTAGTCACTCCCCGCGGAGGCCTTGTGGCGCTGTTCCGGCCTTTGCTGCGCTTCTCCCATGTAGGACGGTTTTCGATTCGTTTGTGGAATTTTCCAACCGACGACGAAAATGTCGTCCATATTCGCAAAAATGACAAAACTCATACCTGTCAGAGTAGAATATTCGCACATTTTTACAGTTTTTCGTAAAATGATACTCCTTTCACTGCCGGTTAAAAGATTTATCGACACGACAATTTACGAAAGGTCACGACGAAGATGGCGGGAGCAGGGGACGGAGAACCCGCCGGTGGCTTAAAGGACGACGACGTGGTGGCGGTAGGCTCCATTTCGAACGTCCTTCGTCGCGCGTTCCTTAACTACTACACGGACGACTTTGACAAGAACTTGAACGCAGAATGGGCGGACGAGGCAACCGTGTCCCAACCGAGCGAGGTGGCGGACGCATCAGGTCAAGAAGGAGGAGGGCAGGAACCGGCAAATCAAGTTGAACAAGCAGAACCTCGTATTGCACCGGACCATCCCTACTTGGTGCATGCCAAGGAACGCGTGGCTTCGATTGAAGCCAACTTGCGGGAGAAGCTGACCCAAGCGTCCGAACTTATGGCCCTTCTCGAGTCCCGGCGGCAGGAAGCGGAGAAAAAGGACGAGCAGCAAGCTCGTGCCTTGATTGCTCAGGGCCTCGTCGTCAAGGCTCAGATTCCCATCGGACCGTCAAACTTCACGCTTCATGCGGACGAATTGATCCCGTTTGGCGAGTTTGCCAAGTCGCTCGTCCATGCTCGCGATTTGCTCCAAGCCAACCATCAACGCATGTTGGACCGGTCGGGCAACGGTCCTACGGCTCAAATGAAAGCGGCAAAAGCCGCGACAGAAGTCCCAGGGTACCTCGCATCCACAGCAAGTGTGAACATTCGGCGAGGAATGACGCTATCCAAAACCACCGCTCCCAGCCATAACACTATCGACGACAACGACGAAGAGTACGTGAGTGAATTTGTGGACGAGGCGGTGCCCCCGTCCCCATCCAAAAAAGTCGCGAAGGTGAAGAGGACAGCGCCATCGACGAAGCCACCGCCGTCACTCAGCACCGAAGCCAAGCTGCTCAATGACAGGATTCTCGCACGAATGCAGAGCACCCTCCAGTTCACACGCAACCCACGGTACGACAAATCGAACGACAAGATCCACGAACTTGCGTCGCCATTCTCGGTCGAGCCCAACCCTGTCGAGTTTACGTCGTACGACATGGGCGGCATCTACGAGCAACTCGTCCTGATCAAGAACGTGAGCACGTTGTCCGGGCGATGTCGCATCCTGCCCCCGTCGTCTGCGTTCTTCATGGTGGCGTCCGTGCTGTACCCGGACGCGTCCGGTTTGATTGCGCCGGGGTTGACCTGCCAGGTGCGCGTGCAGTTTGCCCCGGACACGCGCGCCGACTATAGCGACATGTTTCTTGTCATGGTGGAGACCCCAAGCGGGACAGACATCCCACTGCAAATCCCCCTGTTGGCACATCGCGACCCGCCGCAATTGTCGCTCCCCTCGACGCTCGTTGCGTCGTGCTGCCTCATCGGCGGCACATCCACGACGACCATTTCGTGCTTGAACTCGGGTGGCCGCGGCCGGTTCTGGTTTCTGTCCGAGGCAGATTGGGCCGTCGCCGACGCCCCAAACATCCTCGACACGATCCACGCGCTGCAACATCATCACACCAACGAGCTCTCGACCGGGCCATTCACGCTGTCTCCGTGCGACATGGATCTCGACTCGGGCGACTCGACGGACCTCACGCTCGTGTACACCCCCACGACGGTCGGGACCGAGTCGGCGACGTTTTACGTCGTGTGCGACAACTGCCTCGTGAAACCATTCAAGCTGGCCGGCCGCGGGTGCGAAATCGACGTTGCCCCGGTCACGATCAACCATGTCCCGATGGAAGTCAGTGTTGCGTCGATGGGGCCCCTCGACCGGCTGCTCTTTTCGCCCATCATGACGCATGCCACGGCCACCCAGACCGTTCAGATCATCAACCGCACGCCGCTGTCCCTTCCATTTGCGTGGGTCGTGGCGAGCCAAGCCGTCCAGCACGATGACAACAACGACGCGTCGGCCATCGACGTCCCGTTTGAGGTAACACCAGCACGCGGCGTCCTTGAGCAAGGCGCGGCCGCAACCTTTGTCGTTCGGTTCGCCCCGACTAAAGTCGACGCGTTCTGTGCCTTGGCATCGCTCACGATTTGCAACGTCCCGCCCCACTGTTTGCCTCGAGTGCCCCGGCCGCCGCAAAGGCAGAGTGTGGCACCGCTGACTACTGTCGCCGCGATCACGATGACGTTGGAAGGCGCGTCGATGCCGTCCGCGATTCAAGTGACTCCATGGATTGTTTCGTTCGGCGACGACTCAACGTTGGGCAACGAGGTGACCGCGCCGTTGGTGATGGCGAACGACGGCCCAACGGCCGTGGCGTTTCGATGGGGGCGCGGTGCGACCGAAGGGGCAACTTGCCATGTCTCGCCACGAGAAGGCGTCGTGCCAGCTTGCGGCACGGCTACCGCCATGCTCCACGTCACCCCGCATCGCACGGGGCCGTACGGGTTTCCGCTCGCGTGTTCTGTCGACAAGGACGCATCGTCCGAGGTGGTGGTGTGGGTCGAAGGGTTCGTGCCGCGGCCACACATTCGTCTGTTGGCCGCAGAGATCGATTTCGGACTCGTCAGCGTCGGCCACACCGCGACGCAAACGCTTCGCTTCCAGAACGACAGCCAAACCGTCGCCCGGTATCGCTTTGCCCACGTTGCGACCAAAGGTGGCGCGATCGTGCCGACGTTGAAGCGGTCCAATTCGACCGACTCGATGGCGTCGTCGAGGTTCTCGTACGTGAGCTCGTCCGATGTCAGCAGCACGAACGACGACAAGCCCGACGTGCCGCACAAATGCGTCATCGCGTTCGTCCCGGAGCACGGAACGCTGCAACCCGGCGAAGTCGGGACCGTCCAAGTCGTGTGTTCGAGCGGCAAGTACCCCGAGCGCTTTCGCGGCTCGTTTCAGTGTGAGCTCGTCGACGAGCCGTCGAGTGCCGCGTCGTGCATCTCGGCTCGCGGCGAGATTCAGTGCCCCCAAGTCTACCTCAGTCAAACCAAAGTCGCGCTCGGCACGACGTACATTGGCGTCCCCGTGACCCATGCCCTGTCGCTTGTAAACGTGTCCAACCTGCCCGCGCCGTTCAAGTGGGTCGAACCCCAAGGCAAGTCGAAAGCGTACTCGATCGAGTTTAGTCCGCGCACTGGAACGCTCGAGTCGAAGCAGTCGCTGGCGATCACAATCACGTTTACGGGGCGGGCGCCGGGGCTCACCGACGTGGTGTTTTCGTGCCAAGTCCGCGGTGTGTTGGTCCCTCTCGGGTTCGAGCTCGTCACGCTGCAGAAAGGCCTCGTCCTGTCGTACGACCTCGTCAAACCCGACGACAGTGTTCCCCATGGCGCAGTGTCGCCCGACGCGCCGGTCGGGTCGAGCCTCCCCAAGCTCCAGTTTGGCGAGGACGTGGCACTGTTTGCGCGCAAGTCGCTTCGCCTCGTCATTCGAAACCACAGCGGGATTCCAGCCAAACTCACGTTGGAAGCTCGAAAGTATCACACGGCGCTCGAGGATGGCGCGACGACCCAGTCGTCGCCGCTCGAGCCTCGCGACAGAGCGTTCCAGTCCGACGCCGGTCGCTGCTACAAATTGAACCAGGCCAACGTGCATCAGGACCGCGCGCTGCTCAGTGCCGGCCACGGCGTCGCTCTCCTCTGCGCCCCGTCCTCGGTCTCGATCGCGGCATGGGAGCAAACTGTCGTGACCATCACGGCATTCAACAACATGTCGGGCAGGTACGTGGACGATGTCGTGATCAAGGTCGATACGATGCCGCCCGTGCGGCTCAGCGCCACGATCAACGTCGTCGGGTGCCCGCTCAGCATCAACCCGAACTGCGTCGGGCTCCGTCTCCACCACGACCCGCGCTTCCCACTGCTCGAGTACGGCACGTTGCCGCTGCACGCGGACGCCGTGCCACGCAAAGTGCAAGTGATCAACACAGGGCCGATTCCCGCCCGGCTCACATGGAAATTCATCGAGTACCCCGATCCGGACCACACCGAGCGCGCAGTGGACGTAACCGTGCACGTCGGTCCGCGCGGCGTCGTCGACGTCCGCATTCGGCCCCACGTCAAGAAGGACGATGGTGCGGGCATCGCGGTCCCGTTCAGCGTGGAGCCGATGGAGCGAGTGATCGCGAAGCACGACCATGCCAACTTTGTCATGACGTTCCTGCCGCAATCGTGTCCGTTGGGTGTGTCGAGGGCACTGGTCGTAGCCGACGCCGAGTGGCTACACGGCGACGCGCCACCAAGGCCAGACTCGGCGCTATCAAGCGGCACCAACAGCAACCAGAGCTCCACGACGTCTCTCATGATGGGCGCGGTCGGCAAAGCCATCAAGGCCGTGCGACTCACGAACGCGCTGGGCAAGGCCAAGCCGGGCGGCGCGTTGAATTTCAAAAGCGTTGGGTGTTTGCAGCTCGCGGTCGCCGGCGAAATTGTCCCGCCGAGGCTGCACTGGGACAAGGGCTCGTCGCTGGCCACGTTTACCACGTGGTCGCTCCATCCCGCGACCCATTCCACAACGTACCAGTCGCTGCAACTGGTGAATCGCCTTGCAACCAAACTCACGTTCCGCCTCGACACGGCCGGTCCATTCGCGATCGTGCAAGCCACGTCGGCCGCCGTGAACCACCACCCGCTGTCGGCAACCAGTGTGTCCCCCGCCCAGCGTTCGTTGGCATTCAACCAGCACCCGACGCCGAGCTTTACCCTTGGGCCGAGTCAAAGCGTCCAAGTGCAGCTGCATTTTGAACCACCGCCGCCTCCGACGTCAACCGTCGCGCCCCTGGTCACGTCGTCGGGGCAGCTGTGTATTCGATTCAGCCACGGATCTGTCCAGACGATCCATCTCGAGGGGCGCATCCTCCGTCCCCTGCTCGTCTTGGCGCCGTCGCAATTCAAGTTTGGGCTCGTGCACTGCGAACGAACCCACACGGTTCGCGTGTTCCTGTCCAACCCGACCCAAGTCGATGCCCACTTTTGCGTCCACCACGCGCCGCAACTTGCCGCGCCGACCGCGACAGTCGACGATCCGTCCGTGTTTCAGATCGCGACGACCGCGGGCACAGTGTTGGGCCCAACGCTACCGCTGCACACGGTTGGCGCGACCGTCCCGTCGCCGTCCCCAGGCTACGCGGCCGCGATCCATGCACCGATGGAAATCCTCGTGACGTTTGCACCGGCGCTCCCCAAGAAGTACAAGTCGCGGTTCCGTTTTGACGTGAAAATGGGCAGCGGCTTCGAGTTGGTGCTGGAAGGGGAAGGCACACTCGTGGAGCACAAGCAACCGCCTGGGTCAAGGTCTCTCCCACGGGCAGCACCGCTACGGCACTCGCATTACATGCTTGGCAAAGTCCACGAGTAATCCGAGGGATCACGTTGTATCGTTGGCATTGCGCCGCCGTCGAAAGATGTCGCCACGGCGATCACCGGCATCGTGGCTACACGAGAAGGGAGGGGAATGGCATGGTGCGGAGGGTGCGGAATGACCGAGAAGAGTCGTTGAGAGCGCTTCGACGACTCCAGCACCGACTGGAAGCTCGAAAAACGTTCAACAACGTGATGGAGAACGGCAGGCTCCATGTCTACCGGCTGAGCTCGACTGTGCTCATGTCACACGATGTCGACCACATCGCACCAACGCAAACGCCATTGACCGCGAAGAAACGTGGAGATAAGTTACGATTAGAGATGGACGCGCGCGAGTCTGCTGCCGACATCGCACGATGACGAGGGGGCGGACGATAAATACTTTCAACGACGGAGGCGCCGATCATCACACACACGACTGGATCCAGTGGTGCAAAACTTCCTTCTCTTGGTCCCCCAGCAGTTCATACCCTTCGACTTCCGGCAACGTCGCGGGTGTTTCGCAGCACGTCAAGTGGTGCCAGTCGATCCCAATGTTGCCGTTCACGTGGTGAAAGATGATCCCGACGCGGATGCTACCGGTCTGAATCGCGTCGCGACAGGCTTGGCACGTCGACGCACTGTTCTTGGCGATGCCCAGGATCGGGAGTTCGCACCGCTTCCACGGATTCACGTTGGTCGTCGCTGGCATCGCTCTTGGTTGGCGCCGTTCAAATTCACGACTCCCTCACAAGAGAAAAAACCGGGTGAAGGGCCAGGTAATTCCCTTACATATGTTCCATTCTCACCAGCCACGTCGACGTGTGCCCGACGTCAATCCACGTCGGTTTTACACATAAAACGTCCATGGGTACTGGAGAAAATCGCGCCCATTATCCACGTTAAACCTCTCAAGACGACGTGAAACCCATTAAAACGTACGTGCGATCCGACATTCCATATGGACCGAGATAATGGTCTTTAACAAGGGAAATACACCCCGCCTGGGGCTACAGGCCGTGCCGGAGAGTGGGAGGTTGGCGGCTTCTAGCGAGGATCGACATGTTTGAGGGATTGGAAGGCAAATCCGGTGAAATATCCGATTTCAAGTGGTTGTCTAGGCTATTGGATCGACCAACAAGGACTCCAAGCGTGGCGTTTCCTAGGTGAATGGGGCGCTTCGTCCGTTCACGCGACAAGCTGCGGTGTCGGCGGCACCGTCGGCCGCGGCCATCGTGCCCATCAAACGCCGAGGGCTGGCGCCGGTGGAAGGGGATTTGGCTTGCGCGATGGTGCAGTGTCGATGGGTGTCCATCGTGTGTACGTCGGTGCGTGCGGGTACACTGCGATCTTCGAATGAGTGGCTGTCGATGTACTAGTAGTGAGTAATCGGTTGCTTTCCCCGAGCCAGGTGTCCCAGCGAGCTCTGGATGTTGGACTCCGTCCCCTACGTACGTTGTAGCGACGCCCCCGCGGCGTCGACGCGTCGAGCGAGGCAGATTCGCAGATTCGAATCGTGTGGTTTCGTGTGAGGGACGACAGATCCGGCAACGTATGGATGCCGTCGCCTGGGAACGCTCGTGCATAGTTTTATGTGCGGTGCAACTTTTTTCACGCGGACGTGCGCGACAGGGTTGGCGCGAGCGCGAGGAAGGGGAAGAGGACGATGGTGCACACGCACGCGGCGTGCAGATCCCGGCTTGCCGGGATGCGTCGCGCCATCCACGGAGGTCGCAGGCGAAGGCTCTGGTACGGTATGCGCGTAGCCGACGCCAGGCGAGGGTTCTCATCCACCACTCGCGCCACGGGGCTTGTAATATGTTGCGCGACTGCCTGGCATTCATTTCATTGGGCTCTGGTTCCGACCGCGGGGCGACGACCGCTCGTCCCAAGGCACTCGCGTCCGTTTGTTCGAGCGCACGCCATATATATTTGAACGCACGTGCCTCCTCTTGCGTGCAGAGGCGGTGATATTCAACGCTGCCGCCGTTCGTTTGCGACGGCAACTTGAAGCCACCGCAGCTAGCAAGGCCGACGACGTGTGTCCCTTGACTCGTTCACGACTCGGCTGTGGGCGCGAGCCAAACGCCGCCGCCCCCTCGTCGGCTACACTTGGGACGGTTCCGCGTGGCCGGTTGGTTTTTGTGTCGATTTCTGATTGGCCAATACTTGAGCGGATTTTTAGTGTAGAGGTTGAATTTCGGGATTGGTGCGACAGTGTCCGCGGTGGTTTCGCCAATCTTTCTCGTCTGTGGCGATTCGATTTGGGAGTCGCTGCGGAGGTACGTCGCCTGTGAAATATCGTCCACGCACGCCCGACAACAAGTACGTGCATGCGCCGTACAGAGTCGACAAGGATGTGGCGTGCGACGCCTGCGCGATATATTTCGCGTCGTTAATATGGGAGTTTGTATGGAGGATGCCAAAAAAATGACAAAACGAGATCCATTTCACCTTGTCGAGCCATCCTCAAAATTCAACCGAGGAGAATGTGTCGCAGCGCAGGGGACGCTGGCCCCAAGTCATTTCGAATTCTTCTCCCGACGCCATGACACCAGTGCACCCGTGGTCGACGACCCAGCTTCCTATCCTTGGCTTGGCCACGAACAGCAGCTCGACGTGCCAAGCCTGCCGCGGTGCGATCATGAAAGGATCGATCCGCGTGGGCATTATCTTCCAGCACCTCAGTGGCTTCATCGTGCTCGACTGGCATCACTTGACGTGCTGTGAAACACCGCAGCTCCTGAGACATGTCGAAGGCTACGACCTCCTCGGCGACGACTCGAAAGCTGCCTTGAATGCGTTTATCGACTACACTCAGCAGACTCAGTGTGCATGAGCACAAACGTCCCCGCGACCGAACCGACTGCGTCGCGGCATGGCAGGCGTGGCCCGTGGAGAGGTGGGCACGTCGGCGACAAGACGACCACGTGCTGCATGTCACTCTCGGGCGCGAGGGCCGTGCAATTCAGCTCGTTCATCTCCTGCGACATCTACCGGCAGTTGCCAAACACCAAGCCAAGTCAAAGGGCGCGTTGAGGGGGAGGATGCCCGACTCAATCCCAGCGGTACACGGCGATCGTCGCCGCGCTCGGCCGTCCGTTCTGCTTGGAACAACACGATGCTACGTATTATTCAAAATACCATTGATTCCTTGCCCTGTACTAGTATGCGACAGTGTGTTGACTCTAAAGTTTGGAATACACTGAACTTCAGCTCGGCGGATGCAGTACACGTGGTGGTCGTTCGTCTCGATGGCCGTCGCCAGCGCGAAGTAGAAGCTCCAGTTGGATAGATTGACTGCACAGAACAGGGGCATGGTCACGGGAGTGTCCAGCCTCGGATGAAAGCTTACGGAACAAACCGACGACAAGGGCAAACAATTTCGCCGTGGTAGATTCCAATAGCCTTCAGGCACGAACCGCTTACGACAACACGACTTCGACTCGCAAACGCCACAGACCGAATCTTTCAGACGCCCCCTCCCCCTGCTGGTGAATCCAAGCACCCCCGTCGAACTGAATCTCTCGTTCGTTCGGCAAGACAACGCTCGTGACCACTGCGGACACATCTCCTTGGGGAATACGCACCACCTCTTGGTCAGTGGACGATGGTATCGATCGCCGCGCTGCCGTCCACACCACGTTCCGCGCGCAGGGGGAGCCTGGCGCCCCACACGTTCCGAGTGACCTCGTGGCGGCAGGGCCAGCCATGGTGTCGAGAAGACGTGCCAACGTCAACTTCAACTTCACGGAAAATTCGTGTTACACCAGGATTCCACCAATCAAATCGCTCCATATCGACCCGCCACGTGAAATTCCAGAGCTACCTGGGATGCACGACGAAAATCAGTATACATTATTCCATATAAAATTTTCGACGGAAATATCTCGATCGTATCATGTCCTCGTTCGATGAATCATCCGTCGTGGAACAAACCTCCAAGGTTTTCAGCATCGTTATCGCACGGTAGGCAGTTCAACCCTTCCAAAGAACGCTTGCTCTACGGCATACAAGTTGACAGACGCTTGTGTAAGGCGAGAACAGATCCTTGCTTGCGGGTTGCTTCGAGTTACACCTCGACGATCGGTCGAAACGTCGACCACGACGACGAATCTTGCTGCGCAGGATATCATGGAGAGAAATTGTGCATCGACGACGGAGTAACTTCAACTTGAATGACCAGACGAAATTTCCGAGCATATTTTTATTCTACCTCTTACAAATCGAACGATACTTTTATCAAATGCAATAAAATGGAGAATGATGGTCGGAACCTTCACCATGATCTGGTCCAATCTTGGCTCCATTTCCAATTCTTCCGCCAACCAAGCACCTGAACATGGTCAAGCTGAGCTACAGCCCCCACACGAGCGCCACCGCCTCAACTTCATCGAACCCATCAACCAAGTGGCAATCCTACTTTAGCATCGAGAGCTGGCTGCCTCTCCCTGCGTCCGCCCTGAAACCACAACCCGATTTTGCCCCCCAGCCCACCGCGTTCACCAAGGAAGGCGACGTCGATGGGTGGGTGTTCCTCGGAGAAGAGACCGATCCTTCTCAATTCACATACGCCGACGTCGCGTCGGGGAAACGCGAGCAGGAGGCGAAAGACATCCAACACGTTGCCCAGGAGTACGTGGTCCTGCCCTCGACAAAGTCCAGTCACTAGGCGAACCAAGAGCCCCCAATGCGACATCCGCTTTGTCCATGCATGCTAATCAACCTTATAAATATTTATTCCCATCTTTCGACCGCCGCTCTCTTTGAGACCTTTCGATCGATTCGCTGACAAGCAATGAAGCCGGCGCGCTGGTTGCGCCGAGAGCGCACAATCTGTGAGAGGCACGCGCCATGAGAGATGCCATCAAGAGGCGACTTGTGGGACTCGGCGTGGAGGTAGAATCTGCAGTCAATGCATTAAATGGTCTCGTTCGTCACGCCTTTCGACGCCACCAGGTCGACGTGAGGAAGGAATGCGCGCATCCACGCAGTGAAGAAGGGCAAACACACACTATTTACCTTCTCCCTCCCACTCGTGTGCTTTCTCGCATCACCCGTAAATAGTGTATGAAGCAGAAAAATCGCATTTCCTCTCTTGATGATGGCGGCGTCCGTCGTGTTAGTGTCGTAAGAGCTGGTCACGGCGATGCTGTCGTACCAGCATGGAATCTACCTAGATATGAAGCAGTTCGTTGGGGTAAGGAATCCATTCGACAGCCACATGTCGCTTCGCGTGGTGACCATCGAAGGACGGTACCCGACTGACGTCGCGCTCGGTGTTATCCATGCCGTGCTCGCAGCGTGGTACAGATCCGTTGGTATGTCCCGCGTATGGAAGCTCTTTGCATCGTTGCCGCAGATGAAGGACATTTTGATCCTGGATGCCGTTTACAGTGGGAACATGACCGTGTTGAAGCATCTCCATGCTGCAGATGTTGCGACGTTGCGGACTGTTTTTGCTTGATCTGGCTGCTTTGAACGGTCAGTTGGACGTGCTGGTGTTCCTCCATGAAGTCGTAACCCACTCCGGATGCACATCGTTGGCCATGGACGTTGCAGCCCAATATGGGCATCTCCACGTCGTCCGGTACCTTCACGAACGTCGAACGGAAGGGTGTTCCATGTGGGCTATGAATGGCGCCGCCGAAAACGGTCATTTGGAAGTTGTGCATTTTCTTCAGTTGCATCGCCCCGAGTCGAATCTCGAGTGGGCACTCGAGTACGCAGCTGCGGATGGCCGAATGGATGTCGCCGTGCTCTTGAGCGATCTTTTCGGGACCGACAGGGAATGTTCGACTCGGGCGATGGACGGCGCCGCGCGCAATGGTCACTTGGCCATGGTTCAGTACCTACATCTCAATCGACGCGATGGGTGTACGACGGGCGCGATGGACTGGGCCGCCACCCACGGCCACGTCGCCATTGTCCAGTGGCTCCATGCCAATCGTACAGAAGGCTGCACGACGTCTGCGATGGACATGGCGTGCGGCGCGAAGGGCCATTTGGAGTTAGTCAAGTGGCTTCATGCGCATCGACACGAAGGGTGTACAACCTCCGCCATGGACGACGCCGCTGCGAATGGAAAGTTGGAGGTCGTCCTATAGCTCCATGACAACCGCACCGAGGGGTGCTCGGCATGGGCTCTCACGTGGGCGGCACAGTGTGGGCATTTGAGCATTGTGAAATTTCTTGCTTCCCACCGGACCGAAGGATGCGTGGCAAATGCCCTTGCAGCTGTAATGTCATCCAGCGACCCGAGCAACGACGTCGTCAACTATTTGCGAGCAAGCATATCGCAACCTTAAACACTTGTACTCCACCATCATCATAGTAGCTGCATGGACCTCCACAACGTCATGCCTTCTTCACTCGCAGCAACGTTGTCTCAACCTGGACGAGCTCGGGCTATGCGCGGTGGCATCGACACAAACTCAACGTGTAACCACGTCTCATGGCAAAGTGATGGCACGATGACCCAACTCGCTTCGCGCGAGTCGAATGCAATGCGACACGGCGTGGCTCGACGTCTTACGTCTCTGCGTGCCCAGTCAACGCAGGAAAAATGGAGTGCGGACCTTTCACGAACAATCGAGCGTCGAGTGATCTGCACGAGCACCCCAGTTTGGACAGTCCATGATTCGACGCGACAAGAGTCTCCGCGCTGCCCAGACTCTCATCCTGCCCGTCCACGTCGCCTTGCCAGCAAGGATGATGATGCGGTTTGCCATTTTGAATGAATTCGCGGCCTACAAAAGTCGCCTGGAACGTCGCCAACTTGCGACACTCGTGGCTCGATGCACTCGCATCAGTCGAACGTATCATGGATGCGACGGGAGCACCACTTGTCGCCGGCACCACTACTTTTGCGCGAGGTACTCGGGAGGTAGGTACTTGACGAGCTTTTCAGGGATGTGCGTCGCGGCCTCGGCGGCCGACACGTGGTGCAAGCTCATGCGCTTGAGGATCTCGCTGTCGTCGTTGATTTCGAACGGGCCGCTAAAGTTGAAGAAAATATCCTGGCGGTCTTCGCTCATTTCGCACTGGATGACCGTGTCCTTGGACGTGTTGACGAGGATGAATGGCAGCGCGATGCGACTCAGCGCGGGCGGCTTGTCTTCTTGTTTGTTGCGGCGGATGAGGTTCTTGAGTGCGATTTGCTGCCATTTGCGACGACGGGCAGAGTCATCAGGCGCCGAACGAATGCAATACCATGGAGTTACCTGGAGCAGCAGTTCCTGCAGCTGCTGCTTCTTGAGCTCGACGCTCTTTGCTCGCTGGGCCCTCTCCATCTGTATGCCACCCCGTCAAGTCGTCATCGGAGATACCTGCGCTGGAGCCGCGACGTACGTGCACGGCAGAGATGTAGTACCTGGAGCAGTTCCAAGTCTTGCTTGGCGTTGGAAGGCAGACCCCGCCACCGAATCTCCTTCTTTTCTTTCGAGATGATGTCCATCGCCATGAGCACGTTGAGGGCATCGTACACGCGCCGGCGAATGTTCTTTTCGTCGTAGTTCTGTCCACAACGAGTTAGCCATACGAGATCGAGTTGAATCACCGCACCACCGACTCGGCGGGCCTCATCGTGACAAATTCGTGGACGAGCTCGTCCGCGACTTCGTTGTACGTGGTCACGTGCTTCTCCTCGACCTTCTGGCATACTTTCATGCTAAAGTGACGCAAACCCTTGCTGCCCTTGTCGGAAAGCGGCGTCGTGCTCATGACGGGGGCGCGGGGTTTCTTCTTCTTTGGCGTCGACGCCGACCCGCCCTGGAACCCGGACGACGTGCCTGGACACAATCGACCGGCTTAGACTGTCTCAAATCAACGTGCTCCCTTGTACCGTCATTCAAGAAAGACGTGGAGGTTGTACTTTCTGCGACATACATAAGCTCACGCAGGCAACGCGTGGACGCAAGTACCTCCGCCCCACTCGCGTTTGAGGTCGCGAAACTGGCCATCTTTCAACAAACCCGCGTCTGTTGCCATGCGTTCAAGGCCCTGGGCCTTCATTAAGTTGATGAAGTCGTCGTGGAGACTGCCGGGAGTCACAGGGGTCGCCGACTGGCTGCCAAATGCAGGTTCCACTTCCTGCTTCACCGGAGGGGACTGAAACGCCACGGCATTGGATTCATTCTCGTCACGTTGCTTGTCATCGTTGTCACCACCATCGTCGTTGCCGTTGCCATCGTCGTGCTGGTCGCCGTCTTCCGCAACTTCCTCCACTTGTTTCTTGAGTTCGCGTTTCGTGACTCGTGGTATCACCACGGCGGATGCTGCACCATGGGTCGCGTCGGATGCATCGGACGGGACAAAGAGGTTCTTGGCCACGGACGCCGCCGCTTTACGAGGCACACCCGTCATCGCGTTCGACACAAACCCCTCGGCTTCGTCCCTCTTCCGTCCCCGCGCTGGTGCCATCCTGGTTTGCACCAAAGATGCCCAATCCAGATCAGGAATGGCGCTTTCCGGATACACAAGCGTCCGGTTAATCCGTCAGCCTCCATCCACCGACGCATCCTTGCGTACCGCGACACTTGGGCCAAATGCTGCACGTGGAAAGGCTGCGGCGACGTCGCTACGATGCGCAGCGACGTCCGCACGACCTCTATCTCTGCGTTGCATCACGAACGGAGGTACTGACGGCGCAGTTGGGAGGAACATATTTCATCCAATGAATTGCATGCATTTGTGGAATTTCAGTGACGTGCGCTTTCGATTGGCCCGTGCTTGGCAATGACAAAGCACTGTGCCAGCACCACCGCGAGCTGCGGCGAGCTACCTGCTGTGAGATGGTTGTAGCATATACGATTGATTCGCTTTTGCGCTAAGGAATTCCCCTCCATTGTCGACAGCAGACTCCTCTAGGCGCGTTCGTAAGGATGGCGTCGTTTCCGATGAATCGTCGTCGAGGCAACTGCGTCAGCATCGCATGCGACGGCGATGGATTGCATAGATCGCTACTTTTGGGAGCGCACAGCGCCATCGGGAGCATGAAGTGTGTCAGTCGAGATTCGCGACTGGCACACGACTCGCGAGGCGCAAGTCCACCACTGGAAGGAAACTTCTGCTGCAGCCACCACCACCACCCCATTGCATGCTTGTTCCATTTCTCGGGATACTTGAGCAGCCACGGTGGACACCATGCTCTACCAGATACCCGACGATGGCCGAGCGCTCTCGAAGACCTGCTGAATCCAACAGGGATGCCGCCACAGCCACCAAGACCAGTGGCTGTGAATCCCTTTGCTTGTACCTCCGTCAGGAAACGGCACTCAGGGATTCGCACACATTCTGCATCCGAATAATCCATATCCGAATATTTGCAGTGAGTGACGGTCTTTCCAGTGGATCGGGCATATGCTTCACTACGGACATGGCACCGTTGAAGACGCCGCACGCGGCGGTGCTGCTGACACAGGACATCCTCGACACGATCACGTCGTACCAGCAAGGGATCTGTGCCGATCTGCGCCCGTTCGTGGGGGCGCAGAATCCGTCCAGAGAACTCAACAACTTCCTTCAATTGGTGCCATGGCACGAGGCGGACAGGAACCTACGAGGTCACCCCTTGGCCTCCTTCCACGACATCATTTCACCTTGGTACAAGAATGCAGGCCACAGCCGTCTTTGCAAACTGCTTGCGTGCTTACCACACATTTGGGAAGTCGTCGCTGCGCATGCCGTGTGCACCGGGAACTTGGCAGTCCTCACCCAGCTGCCAACGGAACTGTTGCAAAGCGTGCCGTACTCATTGACCGAGTTGGCCGCAGCAAGTGGCCACATCAACGTTGTCGAGTATCTCGTGGAAAATTCGGACGAATGCACAGGAGAGGCCATGATCAAAGCCGCACACTATGGCCATCTCAACGTCGTTCGCTTCCTCCACGACCGAACAGGCGATGACTGCGCATCCGCTGCCATAGTGTTTGCCGCAAGCCAGGGACACCACGAAGTTGTGAGATTTCTACACACCCACCGGCCCAACATCCGGCAGCTCAAACTGGCCATGTTCATCGTCGCGCGAACAAACTACGTGGCAATTGCCGCGTTTGTCTTGGATGCTTTGGGCAAAAACAGGCACTTCTCAGTAGAAGTGATGGACGAAGCGGCCCGCCATGGCCAACTAGCCATGGTCCAGTTGTTGCATCAGTACAAACTGAGGTGCTCCGTCGTTGCGATCGACAGCGCAGCTTCCAATGGCCATCTGGATGTCGTCAAATGGCTGCATGTGCATCGCACGGAAGGCTGCACGGAAATGGCCATGGACGGTGCTGCGGTACACGGACATGCCGAAGTTGTCCAATATCTTCATGCCAATCGCCAAGAAGGTTGTTCGACTTGGACACTTCGCCGTGCGGCAGAGAGGGGTCACTAGGATGCCGTGCGATTTCTCGCTGCGGCAGTGATGTTCAATATGCCCTGGACATTGCCATGGAGCAAACCAAAGACCGCATTCCTCGATGCCTTGCTTGTCGTGCCACCTTAACAACCAAGCGCAAACAATACGTCACTCAGTATGCTCCAGAGAATGGCCAGCACAAGCCTCGATTTTTTTCCATCGATACATTTAAACCATGGAGGCAACCAAGCGCATTCCGCACAAGTGCTACCGCCTTGTCCATGGCAGCAGTCGTGCCGTTCATGTTGCAGTCATGCCGGAACGGCACCACGGTCAATTGGCCGTGCTTGCCGCTGATCGTACACTTGGTCGCCTCCCACGTTGTAAGCTGCGACTGCTTCTTGGTTGTGGCTCACAGCACTGTGCAATGCTCTCGTGAGATGCTGGTTCTTGGGGCGATGCGCTTGTCGGAACATGACAAGATTCAAATGCCCCATACGCGCAGCTGTCGTGACTGCGAATATTCACGGCATGATATCGAAATAGATGCACATGACGTCAAGGTTGCCGTGGAAGGAAGCGAAGTCTATCGCCAGGACGCACTCCCCGAGTCGTCCTCGACGCCACTATTGTACGCAGCAGACTATCCAAGTTGGAAGCAGAAACAGAGAGGTATCTGCTGTACATGGCATGTATCACGATGATCTCGCGCGCTTGTGGCAAACTGTTTGTCGCGATGGAAGTGGACCCCGTGGGGAGGACCAACACTACGTTCTAGTGGATTTTCTTCTCTCGTGGGGTCAGCGGGTGTTGCCGAATATTGTAAGATAAGGAGGGAGGGTCACCCGTGCAAAAGGGGGGAGCTCAAGTGCTCGCCCGTGCACAAGGGGAGAGCGGCGGCATCTCCGCGACAAGCTCGCTCACGTTGGCCGATCGTTCGAATTGCCGTTGACTTCTCACCCACAACGGAGAGAAAAACAATTTCTTAGCTTTTGATTGGCCAAATACACATCAGTCCTTGTCGCGGATTGGATCAGCCACTTTGTCGGTCCATGATTGGCCAAATGTAAAACGACTTCAGTTTCCAGTAAATTCGATGTATGAATTAATGTTGTACTTTACAATTGATATATTAAAATAGCACAAATATCAAAATATCTGTGCCCAGTCACAGTTGTCGACCGAAAAATCGTACTGGACCCAAAAAGACAAAAAATGACTGAAAAACGATCAAATTTAGCTGTGGGTACCAGCCAAATTCCGGCGCCAACATCACCACATGACAAAGGGCCGCACGAACCGCGACAACCCCCTCGGCCTGGACGGACAACCGCTCCATGCATCCAAGGTCGACCGTGGAGATGCAGGAGCGTATCACCATTTCCAAGACCCGATCACTCGAGCGTTTTCGAGAACGCGACAGCACATTCGAAGCACATAAACATGAACCCTTGTTGACCCGCGCTGCACTCCCAATTTTCCATCATGTCTGGTGCGCCACCCGCACGTGTCGTCCTCGCATGCCAGGACCTCATCGAAGCCATTGCGACGTTCCAACGAGGCATCTACTACGACATGCGCCCGTTTGTGACGGTGGCGAATCCATGGACCCACCTGCGCCATAGTTGCGTGGACGAAAAAGATCTCGAACTGACCGCGATGGCGTTCGCCCCGTTTCACGATATCGTGTCCATGTGGTACACCAAGTGGGGCCACGAGCGCCTTCCCAAGCTGCTGGCATGCCTGCCCCACCTGCGCGACATCGTTGTGTCGCATGCAGTATTCAGCGGCAACCTGCCTGTGCTCCAGATGCTGCCAGCACAGACCATACAGGCCGTGCGATACCCATTGCTGGACCTGGCAGCATTAACTGGCCGTATGGACATCCTAGACTATCTCCATGCAGTTGTGCGCCACAATGGATGCACAATATGGGCCATTGACAAAGCCGCGCACTACGGCCACATCGACGTCGTGCGATACCTTCATGAACGACGGACGGAAGGATGTTCTGCCTGGGCTATCATGGCTGCCGCTAAGTACGGTCATCTCGACGTCGTCAAGTTTCTTCATGCCCATCTAGCCCACCCGTGCTTGAAATGGGCATTGGAGCACGCAGCGGGGGCGAACCACGTAGATATCGTGGGGTACATCATCGAGTCGTTGGGGAAGGACCAAGTGTATGGTGCAAATGCAATGAACAAAGCGGCGCATCATGGACATGTAGCCATGCTCGAGTTGCTCGATTCCCACGGGTTGCAATGCACGACGGACGCCATGGACTTTGCTGCATGTTGTGGCCATCTTGACGTCGTCCAATGGCTCCATTCGAACCACGACGGCGGCTGCACAACGCTTGCCATGGACGAAGCTGCCAGGAACGGTCACTTGGACGTCGTTCGATGGCTGCATACCCATCGCCAAGAAGGGTGCACGAAGCAGGCCATCCATCACTCCATCATGAACAAACATTGGGACGTCGTGCGATACCTCATCACCCACCAACTGGAAGGCAATGGTCGCGACGCGCTTGATCTAGCCATGCACGACCCCAACGCCCCGAGCGACGTGGTCGCTCTGCTACGCGACAAGGGCGCGCCGGTCGGCGTTTCCACGATCGTGCCAGAACTGGCATAGCTGTCTGCTCTGCGGCCGTCGGGCAACGTTATCCCCCATGCTTATGATAAAGATATATCCATCCAACGAGCCCACGACGACGTGGCGCGCTACGTTGCTGCAAAGCGGCAACTAAAACCCTTCAAAGTAGTCTTGACCCGTGTACTTGGTCACTGAATGGGCTTCGTTGCACCGGTCAAAGTTGGATACGTCCGCTGCGCCCTTGATAACGGGAACGTACGGGGCCCGCAGTGACTTGTGGACGAGGCCATTCCAGTCGAACGAGGCCGATGCGAACCACGGATGGTGGACCACGTCGTTCATGCCGCCCGCCAACGATCCTATCCATCGAAGTTAGTTGGCATGTCGATGGACGCGCGCACGCACCAAGACGAAGGCCGGGGTTCGGCTCGAGCAACTTGGTGATCAAGTCTTGGGCCAACGGGTCAAACTTGGCGTGAAATTTGAGCGCGGTCTTGGCATGGATGATCTTTTCAAAGATGCGCTGTTGCTCTTGATGCTGGAACGGTGTGCGTCCCGAGAGCAGCTCGTACAGGAGGCACCCGAGTGCCCAGTAGTCGACTGCTTTGTCATGGCCTTTGTTCAGGACGAGCTCGGGGGCCAAGTACTCGGGCGTGCCACACAACGTAAACGATTTCTCGCACAACAGCGCGCCTTTGTAAAACGGAATGTGCTTGGCAAAGCCAAAGTCGACCATCTTCAAGTACCCGTCGTGGTCGAGCATGAGGTTCTCCGGCTTCAAGTCGCGGTACGCGACGCCCAGCGTCTGCAAGTATCGAAACACTTCGACGACGTTGGCAGCGTAGAAGCGGGCGCTGGGCACGTCGAACGCGCCTGTTGACGCAATGTGAGCAAGTGGCGCAGCGCGTCATCGACGTACCGCAGACCCCCTTGGGCACCAAATACGCCTTCTCGTACAGGAGCGACCACAACTCGCCCCCTTGGACAAGCTCCAGGAGCATGTACAGCTGATCCGAGTCGCTGAAGGTTTCGTACAGCTTGAGGATAAACGGGTGGTCGCACTCGGCAATGATGCCTTTTTCATGGAGCACGTTGCGCTGCTGGTGTGTCTCGACAATGTTGGCTTTTTGCATGCACTTGAGCGCAAATGTCTGGCCCGTCGACGTGTGCTTCATCATGAGCACTCGCCCGAACGTGCCGGTCCCGATCGTCTGCACCTTTTCAAAGTCCTACAGCACCGTCGTCGCTTGGAGCTTTCTCACACACGACACCGTACCGCGAGGGAAAACTTTTTGTGCGTCGAGGGCTGAGCTGGCGTCCCCTTGGCAAACGCGGCTTCCTGCATCGCTTGCTGGCGCTTGGTTTCCCTCGCCATGATGTGCTCGAGTTTCCCCAGCAGCCCTTCAAACGAGCTCCGGTCCAAGCAAAGGCACTCGACGCGCCCGACCGCGACGCAGTCGGCCGCGCGCGGCTCGTTGTTGAGCAGCGCACGCTCGCCAAAGAATTCGCCCGACCGCAGCGTCATGATCTCCACGCCCGACTTGTGCACGCGGACTTTGCCATCACTACCGACCGCGTGATGATTTGCCTCGAACGGCGTCGACGTACCTGATGATGAAAAACGTGTCACCGTTGTCGCCTTGGCGTAAAATCGGCTGCTTGTCGTCGTACGACACAACGCGGAGCGCATGCGCGAGGAGGTCGAGCTCGTCGTCCGAGAGGTAGTTGAGCAAGGGTACACTTCGGAGAACTCGAATGCGCATTTGCCGGTCCAAGAGGCTGCGAAGGGGCCCGAGGAGATTGGTAAAATCTTGCCGCCCCAACACGTAGCACGACACCGTGCCGTGGGCAATGCAGTTGGCCTGGCGCGGCTCGTTCAGCATCAGCGCCATCTCGCCAAAGTACTGGCCCTTGGTGAGGGTCATGAGTGGCTTCTCCTTGCCATCGTACGTCGACGACGTTGTGCACTGCACCGTGCCTTCGACAACAATGTAAAACGTGTGGCCTTCATCGCCCTGCTTGATAATGTACGCTCCGTCGGGAAATTGCTCGAGCTGGAGGGCCGCGGCGACCTTTTGCAACTGGTTGTGGCTCAACCGCTGCAGCAAATCCACGTTTTGGAGAAACTGGACGCGCGAGAGCTGCATCGTCGACGCCGTCGTCGCCAAGATCTTGCGGAAACTCGTACGGTCCACAGTCCAGAAACTGCACGGCGTCAGCGTGCGGATCGTGGCAGCGCGGGGGCAGTTGTACAGCAACGCGAGCTCGCCGAACGCGTCCCCACCAACGTACTTGCCGACGACGTCGTTGTGCACGCGGATCTCGCACTGCCCGGCCTCGAGGATGTAAAAGCAATTCCCGGCACTGCCCTGGACAATCACGTCCGTGTGGGCTGGCTGCTGGATGTTAGACATTGCGTGCATGATGTCGACGACTTCTGACTCGCCGAGCGAGCTAAAGAGGTAGTGGCCCTTGAGCGCTCGCAGAATCACTTGCACCGTCTCGGCGCTCTTGGGAAACGTCGACGCCGACCGCGCGGTCGGGTGGGTGTCCGGTTCGACGGACGCATCGTTGATGGGGGCGCGGCGATTCGCGCCGCTGCGGCCCGTGGGCGATGCCGGCCGCGTGCCCGCATGGTGCAAGGACAAATCTTGAAACGCGGGGAGCTTGGACGGAGCAGCAGGTGGCACGATCGTCGGCACAACAGCGGGGACCGAAGACGCCATCGTGATGCACCTCGAAACGCAAAATGGATGGCCGTTCCATGCACGCAGTGGAGCTAGCCAGGCAACCGAGGGCTATTTTCAGGTCACTTGGCGCAGGGGCACTCGAGCGGTTACACGAACCGTTACATGGCCGTTTCCCCGCCCTGTTTCAACGAAACTCGCGCTTCAAATCGGTGGCCTCTCCATGCGACAACGCGGCAAGAACGTGAGGATGGACTTGGCATGGTGGGCTGTCGGCGCGTACGTCGTGTAGCTGCCCTTCTCTTTGCGTGAACACGCGGCACCCAAGGCCAAAGGCCTTGAGTGGAGAAGTGCACGCGAGCGGATGGCACATGGGCGTGAAGAGTAGTCACAATGCACGTAGCGGCCAGTGGCCACCACGTCCTGGTCTCTGCGCTTTCAGAACGATCATGTACCTCGAGCATCGCCATGTGACATGGATTTCGATATACGCACGACACGTTATGGATGCAGGGGCGAGGAAGAACTGGCGGCTGGTAGCGAGACAGCGCAACATTTCCAACGACAGTTTACATTTGCCATTCGAGTGGTCACGTCCAGCTCAAATCTCGCATCGCTTGCGCTCATGTTGGCTGGCTTTGACGCTTGCACCTTGTTGGGGATATCGCTGAGATAAGGTTCTCTTGCCTGCAATGCTTCACCCCAAGCAGCTGCTCCAACCTCTGCGACGCCGTGGTCGACCTTTTCAGGCCCCGCACCATCTTCAGTATTCGTTTGCCCATGCGTCGACGGCATGCACAGGGTTGTGCGCACTGTTGCGGTCGGTGCATCCCTTTGACACTGGCCTTGAGTCCATCCACACTCTTGACTTGGCCAAGATCGCCATCACGTCAGAGCCATTCATGTCAACGCTGCCTGCTGAGAGGTGCGTCTGCCCTTGTCGACAAGTCGATTCGCACAATCTTCCAGACGTCCGTGGTATCGCCAGGATGGTTCGCACCCCCAGCTGCCAAACGTGGTGGAACGAGCTGTCGGCACCGTTTGCTCGCTTCAAGCCGTGCATGCACTTCGGCATGACGATCCAAAGCTTCTCCAACCTGTCCTTGGAAGCGTTTTTGGAGGCCAGCAAACAAGGAAATCCAACGCTTGGACCCGAATCGCCCAGTGGACACGAGCCCCATGAGAGAGAGGGGAGGCTTTGATACGCCGGTACGACCATTGATTCGACAACTCGCGCCGCTATACATGCTACTACGGCTCTTCGTCCTGCACGACACAACTAGTGTTAGCGACCCCCCCTCTACCGGCAACTGGGATTGCTCCCCTGACAACGATGGCAGCAAGTGATGACAACAAAGGACCAGGGAATCACGACCCAGCCAACACCCATCGCTTCCAAACGACGTGAGGGGGCGTGTCCACGTCCGCGCCAGGTGTGCTTGCCCCTTTGAACGCTTCACCTGTCGAAAGAAAACGACCGTCCCTCTAGGCCAAGTTGACCAAACACGACCTCGCTGCTTCCCCACTTCCTTCCCCTCCGACCATTCCAATTGCCGACCCCGTCAGCCGCCTGCAGCATGTCTGTCGTGGCTCGTGGTCTTGCCAGCCACTGCCGTCGTGGTTTTGGCCGTCATGTGGCAAATACCAGTCGGTTGCGCCACTGGCTATACATAGCGAAGGTAGGTTGTCTCTGGCGTCGGTCGCATTTCAGCAATCAAAGACGACATCGAGTTGTGTTTTGCCTGGCCGCGGCCGTGAAGAACAACCACACGGATACAACTGTGCTTGTCCTTTGACGTGCATGGGCTGGGAGCACCAACACGACAAGTTCTTTGCACGCTGGAATGCAGCATGAAACGGGTGGTCGGCAGCGCGTCGTCTGTCAATTCGGACCGTGCATGTGGTCGTCTGATTCGATTACGCAAGCGCAGCCACCCCCAACGTGTTCATGTACACTGGGTCTGCACCGCTCAAGGGTTTGAGGGAGCGTCGTGGTCGTTCCAGTCCATGGCTACGTGCATGGCCTCGACTCCACCGACCACTTTGCGTCGCGCGCAGGCAAAGGGCACGTCCAGCCTATCGTACAGCTCCTACAGCCCAGGCGCAATGTGGACGCAGCCGCCAGATGGTCTAATCGTGCAGTTCTTGGCGCCAGGGGCTACACGGACCAGACTACGATTTTACTTGCGTCACCACCAGGTCGATACAATGCGAGGGTTGTTTGTCGTTGCGGCGGTGGCGACCGCTCAAGCGTCTGGCGAAACGAGTCTCAAGCGATGCGATACGGGAAAGATCGCTCTCACGTCCGTCCCGTATATGGCGACGCCAGCCGCCGAGGCGTGTGGCGCCGAAGCGCTGGGCGGCAAGTCCATCCGCAGCATCTTCGAGACGTCCGTGACGCCGCCGGACACGATTGCCAAGATGGTCCACACCCCCAGCTGCCAAACGTGGTGGAACGAGCTGTCGGCACCGTTTGCTCGCTTCAAGCCGTGCATGTACCTCGGCATGTCGATCCAAAGCTTCTCCAACCTGTCCTTGGAAGCGTTTTTGGAGGCCAACAACCAGGAAATCCAACGCTTCGACCCGAATCGCCCGGCCGACAACAGCCCCATTGAAACAGACGACGACGATGCTCCGACGGACTCCCCTGCCGAAGAACCACCGACGACGGCGGTGCCAGTCATCACAACGATGGCCCCGACCACGACGACCGTAGCTCCACTCACGACGGCGTCGACGCCAATTGTGATGTCTCCCTCCGCTTCGTCCTTTCAACTCGCCACGTGGTGCTCGGTGGCTGCCGCCGTTGTCGCCGCGGTGCTCTAACTGAACTCTTCTGCCAAGGACCCGCCGAAGCAGTCCTCTTTAATCGTAACACTGCATGCCATGTCCATGGAGCGGTCTGCGTCGTCGCGCGCCAAGCCAGCGCAGCGTCGATCTCACGCCATCGCGCCGTTGGTCTCTTGGTATGACACCGCAGGACCTCCGACGGCATGCCACCCCCCACCCACGGTCGCGCGTCGTCGTCAGCCCGCGTGAAATTTCTGCGTTTTCTCGTGGGAATTCCACAAAAATTCATGAATTTCTCGGCCAAGTGAATGCAAATCGGTGAATTTTTTGCAGGTGCATCGTACCCGCCATGCGAGGGGGCTGGGTCCACTCCCCAACCGGCCATCCCGCACTCGAGTTGCGTCGATGCTGCATCCGTCCTCCGCGCTCGTCTGCGCTCTAGCGATCGCCACGACCACCCAAGCGTCGTTGGCGCCGTGCGACTCGAGCAAGATTGCGCTGGCGGTCGTCCCGACGTACGACACCCCGGACGCGACTGCATGCGCGACCGCCACATTGAGCGGCCGGCCCTTCAACTCGTTGTTCGAAACAACTCCTGCATCCACTGACACGATCAAGGCCATGGCCGCCAACCCGCGCTGCCAAGCATGGTTCTCGAACGTGGCTTCCATCTTCGTCGGCATGAGCGCATGTTCGTTCCTCGGGCGCAACATCCAAGAGTACGGCAAGCTCACGCTGACCGAGTTTCTCGAGGCGAATAACAAAGAGATCCAGAGCTTCGACCCGTCGCGCACGGAGCCACCGACCACGGACGGTCCCTCGACGACCTTGGCACCGAACAACGTCGTCGACGCCTCCACCGCTCCCCAAACCACAACGGCCCCGACAACGTCAAAACCCTCGTCCGCTGCTTCCATCGTGCTGACGGCGGCAGCCGCTGCCGTCTCCTCCGCTCTCTTCTTTGCATAGTCGTTCACTTTGCGCCCAACCCACGCGTTCTTCCAGTCCATCTCGATTTCGCCGCTTTCGTGCCGCTCCAGTGTAGAGTGCCATCCACGAGAAAATAGCACGTCCCATTTGCTGTCTAGAGTGCGAGAGGGGAGACCCGACCGACGTTGCATTGACCTAGTTACACTGCTGCGCCGATGTCGCGACGAGGTTCTCGAGCCATGCGACCGGCCGCAACGTCACGTGCGGCGGCAGTAGTTGGAGCTTGAGCCAGGCGAGCGTAGCTTCCATCGTCATCGCAGTGACGAGATCGGTCGTGTGTGAATCGAGCTGGACGGTGAACTGAATGCCTTCCAGTTTGGCTGCGCGCTCGCGCAGATCCTCGGCAAAGCGTCGATCGAGGCCGCGGCGAAGAAACAACAGTCGGCGGCGGCGACACGGCATCGAGCGAGAGGCAGGGCCAGAGTCATCTGCACCACACGTCGAGTCAGGCACAGGACGCAACCCACAGATACGATCGTACCGTCCAAGGAAATCACAGCAGGAGGACCTTGACTTGGAGCGCCTACAACACAACCAGTGTGAATCGACAGCGCATGGATCGATGGCGTACGTAGAGTCGTGGCGGCGACAAGTCCGGTCAAGGACGATGGCAGAGGTCGATGGAGGTAGTCCGTGAGGTGGCTCAAGTGTGGCGGAGGAGGTAGGAATCGTTGAAGCCCCGCGATCGCCGCATGGGGAGTGTGCACCGAGTGGGAGAACGCGGGCAAGGTCGTCCCATGGTGGTTCGCGGCCATGGCGAGTTCACGCTGCCGCATTTGGTGCATGTGCTGCATTTGAGCGACTTCTGGGTGATTTTTCGTGCTCACAGTCACAATGCGGTCGGGGTCGCTCAAGTCCATCGTGGTTTCGCACTCGGAGCAATCCAAGCTGAGTTTCTACGCGAGTGTTAGTCGGTCGGTCGCCTTGTCGTGCATGAGCACCGACCTCCAAGTCCAACTCCGTCACGGGATTGGGCTGGTTGCATTGGGTGCAAATGACCCGCTTGATGGACGCCGACGAGTCGGACGCGACTTGGTGGTATCGGATGCCGCGCGCCGCTTTGGAAATCTCGTTCTCTTTCCACGCTTCTTCTTGTTCCAGGGCCGAGCACTGCTCGTCCGTGTTTTCTTCAAACATGCTCTCTTGCTCAAACCAGTCGGCCTACACGTCGTCCCGTCGTGACCATCATGGAACGAGTTTAGCCGCACCAGAAACGCCGACCGCGACTTCAACACACTGTGGAGCACTTCGTCGGATGTGGCGGCGTCGGCAGAGGGCTCCATCGCCATCGACGGGTCGCCCAGCTTGGTCTGGGCATGTTTGAAGTCGTGGATGTCAAAGTACTTTTTCACGTCGAGTTTCTGAAACTTGCGTTCGAGCGCTGTGTTATCGACGACGCGCTTGCTCACGCCCTCTTTTTTCACCTGCAAGTCGTACACCTACTGGAATCGTTAATGCGCCTCGCGTTGCAGCGCTCTCGACCGCACCTTTTTTTCCATCGTGCCGGCAGAAATGAGGCGGTAAACATAAACGGGCTTGACTTGACCAAACCGGTACGACCGGCACATGGACTGCGCGTCGTGGCACGGGTTCCAGCACACGTCGAATATCACGACGCGATTCCCGCCACACAAATTTACCCCTACCCGATCGTGTTTCTCAGCCGTTCGTTGGGATGAGCCAGACAGAGATTTCTGTATCGAGCATCCGCCTCCGACGTACCTTCGCCGCCTGCCCGCGTCGAGATCAAGATCACGTCGACTTCTTCGTCGCGGTCGTTGAATTGGGCGATGCGGGAGAACCGCATTTGCTGCGACGTGCTGCCGTCGATCCGAATCGCGTGGATCTTTTCGTAGTCTTTCTTGTACGTGTTGTACACGTCCAGCATGTCTTGGATCGCGTTCAGAGTAGGGAGACTCTGGGAAAACACCGTGATGCGGTCGCCGATGCGCCGGCATTCCCGCAAAATGTGCAGCAGCAACACCATCTTGCCGCTGTGCTCGACAATGCCTGCGCACCACCGCATGGTCAGACTCCTTCGGGCGAACAACGCGCAACAGGACATGCCATGCACACACTTGGCCTTCGTACCTTTTGAATAATCCTTCGCGAACAACGGCTCGGCAAAGCTCAGTCGGTGGCCCATCGTGCGCACCACAGCTTCGACTGCTTCAATGTCGCTGTCAACGTCCTACCTCGCCATGTCAAAGAATTCAGATGAAAAACGTGTACAGGTTGGCACTTCCATCCAATTCATGCTTGCATCTCAGAGTTCACTTACGTCGTCGACAGCGTGGGATGTTGCAGGAGGTGGCGGGACCTCTTCTTTGCCAGGAAGGGCGTCAAAGAGCACGTCTGGGTGGTTCACAATGGCCAACGAAATGTGGTATCCTCCAAGGACATCGATTTTCCCGGTCGTCGGGTTTCTCGGCACGCCGCCTCGCAGGAACGCTTTGTAGAGTTTTACCTACGGCATCCGAGACATCGTCGGCATGGAACGTGTGGCGCCGGTCGGCCTAGGTACCTGAAGGGGCGAGAGCTTGCACAGCAGGACGTACTCGTGCTTGGCTGGGAGCTGGCGATGCAGGTACCCAGCATCTCGTCGCAGCACGAGCGTCGAGAGTTCCTTGGTCAAGATGAACGTCCGTTTCCGGGACAAAATGATGTCGCTCTCGGACGAGTCTTCAAACTGACCGTTTTCAATCGGGTCGACAAATCGATTCTTAAACTCGTGCAACGTCCCGAGGTAGTTGGGCCGGGCAAAGTTCACCATTGTCCAGTACTCTTTCATGTGGTTTTGGATCGGGTACCCCGTCAGGATGATGCGCCGTCGGGTTTCTACCTATAGCAGAGTGAAACCCCCGAGCGCATGCAGGTGGACAAAAGATAGCAAACGCACATGGCTCAACGCCTTGACGAGCTTGGACTTGGCATCACGAATGCGGTGGCCTTCGTCTAGGACAATCAAATCGGGCCCTGGGCCACACAAGCAAGCCAGGGCATCTTGCATCCGGCGCTCCAAGTCGGCGCTCGTCTTGCCGCGCACCTTCTCGTCGCCAGTCGCTTGCAGCACAATGTTTCGAAACATTTCATATCCCATGACCAGGACGCTAGCATGTTCCTTCGTGTGGCAGGGCTCGTTACCAAGCTACGGGACGACGTACCCTCCGTTGTTGTGCCACGCCAGGATGGATGCCAGTCGGTCTGGAATCGACTTGTCCGACTCCAACGTCGTGAGTTGCATCCGCGCCAGCTCTCGCGGGGACAGCCACTTGGCAAACTCGGATTCCCAATTTCGCACGCAAATCGCAGGCGCCAGGATGAGCGCTGTGTTGTACTTGGCGTACTCTGTTTTGTCGTCGTCGTCGTCATCCACCGTCATGACGTTCAAAAACGAATGGACGGTTGTGATCACCTGGAGTGTCTTGCCAAGGCCCATAAAGTCGGCCAAGATGCATCCAAAGCCCTGAGTGACGTGAGAAGAACAAAAGCGTTCCGAGCGAGATGTTCACGTTGGGTTACCTTGGGTCCGGTCGAAATGTGGCTCCATAGGAAGCGAATCCCTTGGATTTGATGCGGTTTTAGCTTTGTCGAGATGAAGTGATCGACAAAAACCGGGGCGTCTGCAGCCCCGACTGCACCTGTCGGGACGTTGCCATCGGGGAGTGGATTCAAGCACACACGTCCATCCTCGGCCCGTCCAAAGTTCGTGGGAGTTTCGTCCGCCTTAAACATTTTCGCGCGCTCGTGCTCGGCGGAACGCGCCAAAATTGTTTCGTCCTCGAGGTCCTCCTCGTCGATGATGTCAGCAATCCGCCTTTTCTTGCGACCTTTTGAAGGCTTGTTCTTTGTTTCCTCTTCATCCTCTTCCTCCACGTCGTCGTCCGAGCTCCACTGTGCAATCTCCGGCATGTATGGTGTCTCGATGTCACTGTTGTCGTCCGAGTCGCTGTCGACGCGCTCTTCGGTTGCATCGATTGGAGGAAGTTGTTCATTTGCTGTCTGCTCCAAGTCACTCAGGGTATCTAGTGGTGCAGGAACGGCCAGCGGCAGCGGAGGGTCCACGAGAAGGTCGGAGATGTCAGCGAGTACCTCCATGATGGTTTTGCTTTTGCGATTGTTGCGATGGAGTGCTAGAAATTAATTTTTCGCAACTGTATTTTTTCGTCAACTCTACAAAAACCAAGATTATAATTTCAAAATCCACGAGTTGCAATTGTCTCATAATATATTGAAAATGCCTATATATTTTGTCCCCAATAGTATTAGCAAACTCTGTCGTTGCGCTTAACTATTCAACCTACGTTTATATCGTGGTCTCATGGCACGAAAAGCAAGTCAAGAAAATTTAACCTACTCTGATGCGTTTAATCATGATAGTATTTCGTCGAAATTCGAACATCCCCGAGGTAATCTTGAACGGACGCACTTGCCGAGTGCGCGCTACGGCATGCCGTTGACACCGCAGTTCACGTGGGAGCAAGATGCTTCGTCGGTGGCGCTACATGTACCGCTGAAAGGCGTCAGTCCAAAGGATGTCGACATCTACGGTGCGTGAATAGACCAGCACGACGTCGAAATCGTCGCGCTGACGCCGCATCGGTCGATCTAGTTGCGGACCTCGTCGTGAAGATCAACTTCAAGCCATACGTGCTACTCGTGGATCTGCACGCTCGAATCCAACCCGAGAACGCCACCGTGACGATCGCAAATGGCGCCATCGCGTTGGTCGCACAAAAGGTATGCTGTGCCGCCAAAGACGCCGCATGACCACCAGCATGTTGTATCCAGCACGAGCCCGGGGTGTGGCAGCAACTGGCGTACGACGGCACCAAGGCGGACCGCCTCGAGCGCCGTAAGATGTCCATGGCCCGAAAGGAAGCTTTCGAGCAAAAGGTGCGACGGCATGCACTGTCCATGTCGCTGACCATGTGGCGACAGCTCAGCGAAGACCGCAAAGATCTCAAGTACCAAAGCGAAAAGAAGACACTGCGCGACCAAGTAATAACGCCATCGCTTCGTTCGTGCATGTCGCTTCAATTCCGCTCGCTAGATGTCGCTGGACGACATCGAACGCCAACGGCTGGAGGACCTGAAGGCCGACGAAAAGCAGAGCGAAGAGGTCCGACCGCTCGGTCCCAACGATCGCAAACCATTGCATGTTTGCCACGGTTAGGACGCAATGTACCAGACATTTCGAGAGCTCCAGCAACAGAGGCCATCCCAAATCCAGCGCAAGAAGCCGCCAGTCAAGTCGCCCAAGGCAACGCCACCGGCGGCTCGTCCGAACGAGCCGCCGATTCTTGAAATGACCCCCGACGGCGAGTTCGAGATCCCCGAGCCCGGCCCAAAAATTGCCTCCAGCGATGACGCACCGGACAGGAAGTGGGCGACGTCCGACACAGAATCCGACGCCGACGACAGCGATAACCAGGACGACGAGGCGAACCAGCCATGGATCGACGACAACGACCGAGATATTGATGAAGGAGTGACGTACTTGCCGCCGCCGCGGCAAACAGACCAAGTGAGCAAGATCGTGTTCACGCCTCGGGTGTTTCCGACCCCATCGCGCGAGTCTACTGCGGGTGCGACTCTTGCCGACAAGCGACGGGACGATTTCTTCACGTCGTAGTGGACGAGGAAAACTGGCTCATGAAGAACCGAAAACACCTCAAGAGCCACAAGGGATTGCATGCGGCAGCGGCGCAAGATATCAGCGAAACCGATCGTACGTCCTATCGACGGTATCCTCGAGTGATTCATGTCGTCGGTAGCTGTGTGGTTGAAAGCGCGAGGGGACGACTTTTACCGGCACAAGGACTTTCAAAGTGCCATCAATGCGTATGGCGACGCGCTTGCGATCGACCCAAGCTTCACCCCGTACGCCCACCGTCAACGGCATGACCGTGTCGCCTTGGCAACTCCACGGTAGACAGCATCGGGCTGATGCGGAACTTCCGGTAGGTGCCTGTCCAACCGAGCGGCATGCTTCCTCCAAGTTGGCGAGTACCAGGTGCGGATGCACACAGCATACTCGAATGCGCCAGGACGTCGTGGTCAGTCATGTTTGGCTCGGGATGGCGTTGTAGCTGTGTGCCGACGACTGCACAACAGCCCTCGCTCAGTTGCCGGACCGCGGAGAAACCCCAACGATGCCAAACATTCAACTCAAGGTGCGCGTGCTGGTCCGTCGCGGCACGGCATATTGTCAGCTCGGGTTGTACAGGTAAGGACGATCCACCGAGGCGAGAACGAGGCTTTCGTCTGGGAATCGTTGGAGTGACCGCGTTCCAGTGTGCGGACGCTCCATCGTTGGTGTTGTGTGTAGCCAAGCCAAGGCCGACTACGGGGTCGCGCTGACATTCCACCCGCAAAGCGAGCCACTGCAACTCGATTTCGCGCGCATTGGGCAGCTGGAGGCGTGCGCCGAACAAAAGAAACAGGCTGACGCGTGCTACACGAACCAAGACTTTGTCGCGGCCAGGGAGTTGTATTCCCAGGCATTGACGCTCGACCCAACGTTCATTTCGTACGCATTGCAATGGTCTGCGGCGCTGGATGAGGTCACATGTGTGCGCAACCAGGTGCCTGTCCAACCGAGCGGCATGCCACTTGGCGCTTCTCGACGCGCCGGCCTGCATCGTCGACTGCACCCGAGCCCTTGCTATCTTGGAGGTCACCGTCTCAGTATCGATGCATGGTGAAATGACGCGGTGTGCAGGACTCGGTCCCGTCAGCTGTACCATATTCAGCGATTCCAGCGCCAGGGTCAGCGAAGCGGCGCCAGTGGGTGCTCAAGACATTGGTACGTCGTGGTGCAGCGTACACGATCGACAAGCAATGGGCCAAGGCCGAGCAGGACTACCTGGATGGGCTGATCTTGGATCCGGGCAATGCTCAGTTGACCGACGACCTGGCGCACGTTCGCCGCTTGAAGCGCGAGGCGCCGTAGACCCGTACGAGTCCCGTCGATTTAACATGAATTCAGTCCGTGTGCTGCAGCAGTCTTTGGGGAGAGGGGTGGCATGTCGCTGCTTTCTACGTCGGGAGGAAAGGGCTCAGCCCGCGTGAAAGGGGAGCGACTGCTCAAAGCACTTTGAATCATGAAGGGCGTGCCGACCAGACGAATGCCGCCGGCAGCAACCGTGGCAACGACGCCCGTGTTTGCGCTGTCCGAACACCAAGTTCTAACGAGCCACCACGGCGACGCCGAACGTCCTCGCACGTGCTGTCTTCGTTGGAGCGATGAACTCGAGTCAGAAGAGACGAGTCCAACCTCCATCGCGACGAGAGCAATCGTTCTCACGCCTCGAACGGATGCACTCGAATGGCATTCGCCCGGCACCGATGCGTTGCGGGGCAAGCATTTGATCACGCCCCGGCGAAACGCTGCTGAGAACACGTCCCCACAGCTTGTCACGCACCGCACGCACATCGAGACGCAGCGCCAGCTCGACAACATCACTTTCAAAGCCGAGCCGCCGCCGCCGCAACCGATTGCCGACGACGGCGACGTGCCAACTGACGCATCCTTGGCACAAGGGAGTGACCTGTCGTGGACCAACACAAGCCCCGAGTTTCTGTCGTTGAAAGTCGTGCTGTGGACGTCGCCGTCGCTCTTGCCGGTGGTGTGGCTCGAATGCCCGACAGTGCAGTCCGCGCTATGGCCCCGAGTGCATCGTGGGGATGTCCTCATGGCTGTGAATTGCATCCGTGTGGTGCCCATGGTCGACATCATGCCCCCTCGAAAGGCATCGCGTCGGCGGCCGTGGGTGCTGCAGTTTACCAATGGCCACATGACCAATTACACGGTGCGATGGGGGGTCGGCACATCGCTCGGTGTCGCCTTCCGCCGGGTCCACGTCATGAAGCAGTTGGCAGCTTCCTCCCGCAACACCAACGAGTGCCTCACCGTCGTCGCCGCCGTGCTACCGCGCGTCGACCGTCCTGCCGTAGGGCGGAGCCGCATTCAAGCTGGGGATGTCCTCGTCGCCATCAACGGGACGCTAGACGCCGTGCAGGCTGGGTTTTCAGCGACCCAGGAACACCTCGCGCGACTGCCACGTCCGATTGAATTGACCTTTCGCGGAGTCGGCCACGCCATCGCGCGCGATCCCCATGTCCACTGCCACTGCGTCGTCCAGTAGCGACAACATTTCCATGAAACATTTTTCGACGCCGCCACGTTGCCGTTTGTGCCATGGGCGTCTCTAGGTAGCAGCGAGTGGGGCGTCTAGTTCAGCGCTGCACCCTCCACACGCCATGCTGGCACGGCCCTCCGTCGATGTCCATGCCACAGTGACGATCGGAAGTCTTGGCGCATGATTGCGATTGATGCCCCCACCAACTGACCTGGGCAGGAGTCGACTCCGTCGGCTCCCAAACACAGCGAGACCAAGTCGATTGGTTTCGTTTAACGGATGCATGTCGAAAGAACGCATGCCGTCTACAACCGCGACGACGCGTGAAGGCGGCGCAGCGGCTGGAGGTACTCGGTGAAACCAGGAACGGCGTCCGACGCGTAGAGGAGACTCGACTGCATCAAGGCATCGTACACGTTTCCATCGGCACGTCCCAACGTCGAGTTCAAACTCACGTCCGAGTGGTCGAAAGCATCGACTAGCGCCACGGCGTGGGGTCGCACAGCGTCCAACAGGTGCGTCAGGCGGGCGTGCAGGGACGCGCGTGCCGACGTCGGCAACTGAACGAGCGCCATGAAGTCGCCCAAGTCCTCCTGCAATTGGGTCACGCAAAATAGCTCAAAGAGGGCGACGGCAATGGGCTTGGTCGCGCGCGACAGTGACTCGACCGCCGCCGCGAATTCGTGGACGAGGACGTACTTGCCGTAGCACTACATCCCGATCCGTGACATGCCTCAAAATCATCATCATGACGGAGTTCGTACGAGAGCGAGGTGGTGGGACTCGATCAAGTTGGTCTGAATCGCAACGTCGGGTGACGGGTAGGCTGCGGCAGTCGCGTCGAATTGGTGAAGCAGCGACAGGAAGCGATAGCGGAAGAGCGCTTCGTAGTCGGTCGCACTCAACTTTGGCAAGGGACCGTCGAGGGCATGAAAAATCTGTGCGGGACAGTCAAACGAACGGATGGGGCATGGGATGGGACAACCTCAAGCGATGGCGGCAGCGCAACACCCATGCGGTAGGCACCGACCAATTTGAGCAACGTGCGCGTCGTCTAGAACGGCAGCGGTGACAATCCCATTCGAGATTGCAAATGGTCGGTGCGAACTTGCTGAGATATGACGTAGTTTTCACCTTCCGCCGTCACGAACTGGGCCGCGAAGCCACCCAACTCCTAAAACCCACCCACGACAACGTCAAGATCGATGGTTGTGGGAAGTTCTGTCGGTGTGGGGCGACTACCGGAAGACCTAGGCCAACCCGTCAGAACTAGAGCGTATTCGATGCCGGGATGGATGCCATGGCCCGTGAAAACAAGTCGAATTGCGTCGTACCACTCGATTGCAGGTATCCGTGGCCGCCACACGCCTGCAAGCGATCGTTAGTCGTGTGCATGAATTCGATGGACAGGACGGGTCGTACTCGGCGGCAGATTTCAATGCCGCGTGTGCACAACTCACTGGCCGCGACCTTGAGCGCGCAACTGATGGCATGGGCCATCGCGAGGGACGTGGCGTCGATCGAGTCGGGGGACGTGTCGACCATGGCGGTGGCTTGAGTGCAGAACGCATTGTACACGTGGCCTGCAGCACGTCTTCAATCATCCCAACGTGAAATCGACGCGCGTACTCGTCGCAAAAATGGCAAAGCTCTCGGCCACGCGAGGGAGCACGCGGTGTTGTTGCGATTGGTAGTCGAGCACCTACACAAGGCATTGGGAAAGCTCATCTCGGACCCAAGTTGCACAAATATTTACAATAATCACCAATCCAGCATATATATATATATATATTCCATTCAAAAACATTGCATGCATGACGACACCATGACAACACAAGGACGGCGACGTACACGGACTTCACCGTGGGGCGCTGTGGCCGACAATCCTTGCAGCCGAATGGCCGAATAGCGCACGGCGATGGTAGCGGCCTTGGACAGCGTCTTGGCGCTGCCATGCACCATGTGAAACCGCATCTGCAGCATCGTAAAATACGACAATTCGCGCTTCGCCCCATCCGCTCTACTGGACACGTGGAGGGGGTGCTGCACACAAGTCGACTAGTCCATGGCACCGACCGGGAGTACGTGCCATCTCGCGCCACCGTCGAAAACTTCATCGCCATGTTCGCGCGAGGAATGCGAACGCGATCGAGCTTCAAATACCCGTTGTCCACAGTGTTGAACGCGAGCTTGTCTGTTGTCGACGACGAAAACAACGAGAATGAGTACACGCGTTGAAAAATCCACACATCTCTCCACCGCATACGAGCAACGTCATTTAGATGGATCGCAAAAATGCTCGAGATGGACATTGGTCACGCAACCAACGAAAACCAACGGAGCCGTGCGACTCCACTCGTAGAGCCCACGAATGGAATGGCAGATGTGACGTACTGCCGATGTGACCGACCGTGATGCCAGGGAGAGGCTTGTGCGTGGTGAAGTCGCGCAGCTGCAGTAGGAAGCTATGGACACCGTGGTCCGTCCCGTGGATCAAAAGCCGTGCGTACACGACGGCCATGTTGGCTGTGCTTGCCAACGCCCCCGGCCAGTACTTGATCGACGTCAGAGTCGGCGAGTGGAGTTCGAATTCGTCGACGTCCGGGAGGAACGTCGCTGTCGTCTCAAGAGATCGGAGATTCGACCCATGGCCGAGCTCAGTTTGGGCGTAGCACCCAAGCCATTGGAACGAATCGATGGGCGTTCCCCACGCTGCTACCTGTTCCGGCGTGAAAATGCTCGCAAGGTTCTTGGTAAACATCGCATGATGCAGCAACGTGGGAGTCGCGTACCCCGTGAGATCCTGCACAATCAACTCATGCAAGCGTCACTCGGTGACGACGTACCTGGGAAATGACGCGAAGTACTTCGGCGTCTGTGTTACTCAAACGGTGCATCAAAATTAGCTTCTCCACAAGACACGCGAGCCGCAGAGCTAGCACACGTTGGTTCTCAATGGATTCGCTTAGCATCTTCTGCGCATCCTCGAACGAAAGATGGGCTTCCAGCAGTTTACAAAGTCGCATGTACGTCTCGCGACTAGCTTGGCTTCCATGGGTAAACACCTCGGACATCTCGATCGCCAGCGTGGCAGGACTGCGGCACCGTTCGCTCGCCAGGACGTCTGCGTTGTTCGCCGCCATGAGACAGAAACTTGCTGACAGTGTGAAGTCGAATTGGTGTGACCATCCGGATAAATAAAAATAGTAGTACTATGTGGTTACTACTACTACTATTGGTAATGTCATACCGTCCGGTTAAAAAAGGGATTATCCGGGTATCGACACCTCACAAGATTTCGCCTTCCGTTGCTTGATAAGTGGGAGCCAGGATGTGCCAATGCCGCAGGACATGCTCGACGCCTTTTTGCTGGCTGTAAATGCAAAGAAGCAGGTCATCGTACTGAGTGGCAAGCGATGCGGTGGCGCACCAAGCTACAAACGCATACAACATCTCTGCCTATCCTTTCCTGGTTGGCAAACCAAGGTCTAGGTGATGAGGTCGTTCCGTCGACACGATGCCACTGGGTGGCGTGCGTGGATTGTCCAGGAGCTGCCTCCTCCTTCCGCAGGGACGTACAGCCTTCTCCTGATGGGAAAGAATTTTCGCCAGAATTTTTGAAATTGTAGCAAATTTCGATTGATGTAGATCAATGTGCGCGACACGTCGTCGAGGCATCACACACCTGCACGACCGAAGCACAATGGACATCCCCCAGTACCAGCGGCTTCGAGTACAGAACGCTACAGCTTTATCCTGAGCCCCGGAGTGCCGTGCTTCTCGAGCGCGCCCCTTCGTCGTAATCGAACTGTGGTTAAGCACAACAGGCTGCCAACCAGATTCAATTTTAAACATCGAGCCTGCAAATAGACATGCATCCGTCAAATTATCCTTTGTAAAAGTTTGTGCGAAACTTTTTTCTTCATCCATTGCTTCAGAAATTTGAAGATATAATTTTCATTCGGTTTCTACTAAATTTCAGAATAGCCCAAGGTTTACCCACGCTATTTTGTCTGTTGGCTGGTGTGGCGTAAACATTTTGCATTAAACTGATGGCGGCTCCACGTTGTTGGGTGGGATATCGTCCCTCAGACATGCTCGAGTGTATACAACGACGGCTTGAGTCACCAAGCTTAAGGTATGCATTCAAAACGAAGGATCTACCGTTTTGCAAGATTTTTGGCGCTCGTTAGTGCTTGCGTGGGCAATCGAGAACTCGCCCTACACCCACTTTTTCGTTCGAACGATTGAAGTCCCACTTTAATTCTGTCTATTAATTTATATTATAAATTATAAAACAACTTGTTTCGTGCTTTTGTCCTAAAATGGTGCATTTGTACAGTGGATGTAGATAAAATGATTCGTTGAAACGCAACTTGATTTGGCACAAAATAGATGGTTTTGATCATTCGACTCGACCGTGTCACCACCTGAGGGTGCAACAGGAAGGCAATTCGATCAACATAGCACATCGACCGGCTCGCGGCGACGAGACACTAGCCAACCCTCCATCGCCGGGGTACGCGCCACGACTGCCCCTGCACCGCCACGCGCCGCTTGACCACCTTCCTCCACGACGACATGCCCAAGTTTCCCCTCCCGCCGGACTACTTTCGGTGCCCACCACTGTCGCCTGACGAGATCACTCGCCTTCAAGCACTCGGCGAACGCACCTCCACTGACATGGTACATGCAATCATCGCCTTCGTCCATACATCTTTCACATTCTCACCAACCCAACTCTACCGACCAGGTGCGCGCTTCCCGCTTGCAAGGCGGTTCCATTAAGTGGACGCTTGCTTCCGACATTGACGGTCTCCAGTTGTATGTGGGAGACGATCCGTCGGCACCCCGCGGTGTTACATCGTACTGCGGTGTCACAGAAGTCATGGGCACCCTCGACGAAGTGGCTTCGTTGTTCAAGACAGATGCCGCCGAACGATACCACGACTACGTGCGCATGTTTAGCAAAGACCACTTGGACGGTCAGACTCTGTACACCCTCTCGACTGAGTCGGTCGACCGACGTCGCCACCATCTCAGTCTGCAATGGTCCGCGAGTGGCATGCCAGGTTTTGCCAAGCATCGCGACTGGTGTTACCTCGAGGTACATGCAGTCGTTCGACCAATGCAGTGGCTCATGTCGTTGTCAGTGCCAGCACGACTTTACAACAGGCCAAGGGCGTCTCGGCTGGGTTCGTTCGTTCAAGTCGGTCAAGTTGACTTGTTGTCCCGACCTTGAGTCGACATTCAACGTGGTTCGCGGCCAGTACCATCGATCTGGCATCGTCGTCGTGGAGTCGCCCAGTCGACAGGACCACTTGGTGGCCATGGCTGTGCACCAGATCGACTGGAAGGGCAGTGTTCCTTCCTTTGTGGCGGCGTCGGCGGTGCGCAAGCGATGCCGCGCCGTGGCCGACCTCGATACACACTTGCGCGCGCGGCGCATGCGAGGCCTGTCGTTCCTTCCCTTGCATCGCCTCGTGCCGTTTGCGCTGCGAGTCAAGTGCTTTGTGTGCTGTGCTCGCTTTAGCGTGTTTAGACATTCCAAAGAGAGTTGCCGGCAGTGTGGCGAAGTCGTGTGTCGGGCCTGTTCTCGGCAATGGGACGTTGGCACCCCTCAGGACAAACTCCACGTTCGAATCTGCGCCGCGTGCAGCTCCCAAGCCACGCCGTCTTCAACGCCGGCGCCGTCGACTTCGATTCCAAGTACGCACGATGCCCTGCTACCTTCCATGACGCTTACACACGTCGTCCAGGTTGTCGGAACTCGGAAAAGGTCGTGCTGGGGCCGTTGCCCACGCCGACAAGTGTCGCTCCTTCGCATCGTGCTCAACCCACCAAAACAGATCAACAGCAAAAGCAGCAATGGCTGCTCTATTTTCCAGTCGGGACGAGAGCGTCACAGCAACGAGGAAGAGACGGCTTCCCTACTCCTCGCAACGCTTGTTGTTCGAGCAGCGTTCCGCCCGCCGCTCCCCGATCGACGAAAGCGCGGGCGAAACCGTCGCTGTTCCAGGACGACGACGACATCCCGCCCCAACGGCCGAGATCGGCCAAAGCGCGGGCCAAGCCGTCGTTGTTCGACATGGGCGATGATGGTCCAACGACCAAAGCAACGTCGTTGGCTTCGACCTCTCAGCAGCAACCAACACGGGCGCCACGAACGTGGGAGGCATATGTGGACGACAGAGGGTCCGCCACGGCGACGCCGCATGGGTACATTGAAGCAGGCAACATGGCGGATGCGGACTACGTCCCAAGCACGGTCCGCGTCAACTTGCTACGCGACGAAACCGACTCGTACACTTCGCGCCTTGTGTCGGCCAAGTCGAAGTCGCAAGCGACGCCACCGACCCCCGTGCAATGTAGTCCTGCCACTCCCCTTGACGATCAGACACAACCTCACGCATTGAAGCGGGGCTACCACGCACCCTGCCCCGACCAGCGCCATGGCCATCTCGCATCGTACAACTGTGTCGGCAGCGGCGACGTGCGTGCCCACAAGAGCGACTGCAATTCCTTGCACCGCACCCCATCCAGCAGACGCAACACGGACTGTATACAGCAGCAGCAGTCGGCGGGAGAAGTGTCGACCACATCGCAGGATATTGTCGTTGTGGGGCTTCCACACCGATCGAAGCCCCATCCATTCTTGCAACCCCACGGAAAAGAGTCCCCCGCACCATCGAAAACGCAAACGTCACCTCCTCGGAACGATTTGATCATGATATACGACGTGGCTGCTCCAGCGGGAGAAAACTCGCTTCCCACCCTGCGGAAGCCATACCAACCCCATGCAAGCGGACCTCACGACGAAGCTTTGATCCGTCAAGGTGGAATCGCAACTTGAAAACAGTGTTTTGTGGCGACCTACATGTTTGTTTTGCGTCGAGCGGACGCTCTAAGTTGTCTTCCCAATGGCAGTCTGTCTGGCATGGACGAAGGTGGGAGCTACCTAGATGAGATGGCATGCACCAAGACGCATAGGCGCTCGCGTAGCATTCTCGGGGGACCGACCAGGTACGTGGCGGCCGTTGCTTCTGGAAGCGATCGCGGAGGCAGCCTGGCAATGGTCGTGTGCGTGAGGGATCATCGCCATGGATGATTTGTGGCATCTTGGGATATATCGGAATTGACTTGGGATAAACTCTGTTTGCCCTAGTATCACTAATCGATTACTAGTCTTCTCCGGGGAGTTTTATTGACAGGCTACTAGTGTTGCCAGGTTACTAGTGCGGGGAATGTCATCCGCTCCAGAATTTCCTTGACACCTTTGGCTGAATGCTTTGTTGGTGAAACCCATGCCAATCATTTCCCAATAGACATGCCACAGTCCGAGCTCAGGCACCATGCAGCCCGATGATGTGATGGACTTGTGGTGTTGCATCGTCTCGTTTTTCCCAATCATGGGGAAAGCCCATGGTTACTAAGAAACGACTGGATTCATGAAATCGAAATCTTCGCACTTCAAACTGCGAGACAGTTGACATGATATTTCACGGTCACATTCAGATATTCATGAAAATCGGTTGACTTTTCACAAACTCGGAAGGATATTTGACAAGTATTTGCTGAAATCAGCTCGGTCCTCACCGATCCGAGATGAAATACAAGCAAACAACCATGAGATCCTTCAACGTCTTGTCGTAGATAATTCCTCCTGGCCGCCTGCCAAAGCAAAACCCCCCATAAAATTCGAAGCCATTCAGTTTAGGTTTTCCTCGCCATGACCGGCATCACGTCATTGACGCTCGCCGCGCTCGCGTCCGTCGCGTTGGCGCAAAATGCCACTGCCGTCGTGGGCACAACGGCGGCTCCCGTTATGGAGGAATCTACCTCGTTCTTCAGTAGCCCCATTGTCAGCGCCATCTTGTCGATACTGTCGTTGCTGTACATTTTCCTTGGCCTCGCCATCGTGTGCGACGACTACTTGGTTCCTGCGATTGAAACGTTGTGTGAAAAGCTCAAGATCCCTGAAGAAGCCGCTGGCGCATCGTTCCTTGCGTTCGGCAGTGCTGCCCCTGAAATCCTCCTCAACGCGGTCGCGACTGCCGAAGGCAAGATCGAGTCGATGGAATCGTCGTTGTCTGCTATTCTTGGCTCTGCCATCATTGCGTTTGCGCTCATTCCAGCGCTCTGTGCCCTCGTTGCCCCAACATCGCTGACCATATCATGGGGACCCATGATCCGCGACTCGACTGTGTACATTGCTAGTGTTGGCACACTGGTCTACGTCATGAACGACTCCCTCGTTGACTCTTGGCAATCGGGTCTCCTCATTCTCGTCTACGTCGGATACATGTTGATGATCTTCGTTCCCATCCGGTTCCGCTCCGCCGACCCCGATCGACATGACGAATTCGTCGCTCCCGCCGAAGATCACATGGTAGATCATGCCCTCGCCCCGCACCACCCGCTTCTTGCGTCGTCGTCGCCCAAGGGATATGGCGCTATCGACGCTGCTGGTGCGGCAATTCTTTTTGATTTTTCCTGTCGTGACCGACATGCATTCACAGGAGAATGCAGCTCTTCTGTTGCGTTTCCGATGCTTTCCAGTGTTTTTTTCAGTTGGAAATGATTCTTTATTTTCTTTTTATTCAAAACGGTTGCACCCTTCTGGATGTTCAAAGCGCTCTGACGTCGATCATCTTGTAGAGGAAGCCGCGGAACCTGTGTGCCTCGAACCCGTCCGTGAAGTCGTCGACCTCCTCTCTCGGCCGTTCCGCATCCTCTTTGCCTACACCCTCCCTGAATGCGGCTCGGACGCTCCCACGCGGTCGTACTACCCTGTCACGTTGGTGCTGTCGATCGCGTACGTCGCGCTCTTGTCCGCTGCCGCTTTGTACTCGACGCGCATCCTGACGACCGCGTTGAACCTCTCGACGGAAGTCGCCGGGGTCACGCTCCTAGCTCTGGGCTCGCAAATCCCAGACACGATTGCGTCTGTGTCGCTCGCTCGTGCCGGGCATGCCGATGCCGCTGTCTGTAACGCGATCGGGTCGCAAGTAATCAACGTGACGTTGGGCAGCGGATTTCCATGGTTCTTGTACACGCTCTTGTACGGCGAGGTACGACATCCAATGTCGATTGCACTTGTGTTCTCATGTTCGCGGCAACAGATCCATATCCCATATGAACAAGAAACGCTTCTCTTCCAGCTCTTGTCCGTCATCATCGTCGCATATCTCGTGCTCAACCTCCGCGGTGTCTTCTGCGCCTGCTTCTCCAAGGCCAAGGGATTCTTCGTCGGCCTCAGCCCCCACGACGGTATCGCGCTCTTGGTGCTCTACGTCGCCGTCAACGTGTGGCTCGTCATTAAGTTGTAATGTGCAGAGATCGATCGATCCCGATTGCGGTTGTGTTTCCGCAGGATGTTCGAGGAACAGGCGTCTTTGGTACGACCCAACCCGTCGGCACACCCACACTATGCGCCGCAGGTAAGGAGGGTTCAGCAACGTGAATATTCATGCTGCTCGCGGAATCCTCCTCGTCGATCTTGCACGATGCCTTTGACGTCTTCCTTGTGACGGCAAACACCGTTTGATGGGAATCATATCCGTAACACCGGAAAACAGTGTAAAAAAAAAATTCATCGATTGTATAATATTTAAATATTCTTTTGACCGAACTGCATCATGTTCAACCCCCTCATCACGATGGTGTGGCTGGGCGTCGGGTACATCGTCGGCCGCGTTGATGTGGCCTGGTACGTTCTCGAATTCTGCCGCGAGATTGATACGCTTCCACCTTCGCACAAGGGATGGGTCGCGGGATGCTTTGCTATTCTGATTGGTGTCTACATCGTTGTGCTGTGTCCCCTCTCGGCAATCGCGTCCCGAGAAGTCAAGAGCAGCGGACATAATCCTGCGATCGTGCCGACGTCATTCCGCAGCGAGATTCGTCGTCGAGGAAGCTACAGCATGAACTATATCAACGATATCAAGTCACACGTGCTCGCACGGTCCTAGTCCCGTCCTGGTACGACACTTGCTACGTCGGTACATTCCAAAGATGCATGTACGCCACTCCCTCATGTCGAAGACGGATTCCTCTATGCGTCGGCGAACCCTCACTAGGACGCATGGATCCGTGTGACTCCCTCAAGAATCGCTTCTCATCCCACCAGCAACGCCAACACGCATGATGAAGAGTCCACACTTTGCTACGATGTCTTGTCATTCATATATGCGATCATTGCTAAAACCCCATGTTGGAGGCATCAAATCGCTCCATGGCGCCGGACACGGCATCCACCACGCGCTTTTCATTCATGATGTATACCGACCGGAACCCGCCCGTCTCGTCGAAGCGCTACGACGCCATTTTATTCACCCGACACGGCGCCATTCTTCGTACCTGGACGGTGCGCAGGCGGCGAGCGTTGTCGATCGATGTGATTGTTTCCACCAACACTGGGCGACCTGATCCATGCGAGTGAGACGATGGCGTGCCCCAAGAAAGAATCATGGGTGCGCGAGATGATCGCACCTGTGCGCTTGGAAGTGGCCGTGATGATCAAAATGTTGAGCCCGACCTCCTGCATCGTGATGTCGCTGCCACGCAAGCTCGGGTCGTCTGTTTCCAACTGGAGACTTGTTAATATTTGTCGAACGCACAAGCAGTCGCCTCCATACCTTCAAAATGCCATCGGCGGCCGGCTTGATCCAGCAATACTGCGTAGTTGAGAGCCCACTGATGGAAGTGCGCATTTGTCGCAAGTGCCACGCGCCTGCATGGCGAAGAAAATTGCGTTGGACGAATGTCCATGAATCTGCCGATGATACCTTCTTCACGATAGACAAGTTCCGACGAACACACTTGTGTGCCTTCGTCATGTGGAGGAATCGAGGTCAGCTCACCGTTCCACCGCCCTTCCATGCTATCGGCACGCTGCGCTGTGGGATTCCTGAGCATGCAAGAATGACCAGTACCTTGGGAGGACGTGGTAGCTGCAACCATTCACGAGGACGGACAGTTGGTTAAAAAACGTGCGACCGCTTGCTTCAACGTCGTCAGCTCAAAGAACGAATGTATAGCATTTCCGTGTACCTTTCGACGGTGGCGGCGCACTTGGCTTTGTCGACATGCGCGAGATAATGCTCTTATCAAAGCCAAGCTGGTGAACCGTTCCATCTTCACCTGCAGCCCAAATATTGTCTAGTTGTACTAAGGAATCAGGGGGGGGGTCCTCGACACGACGACGCGGTCGTTGTTACCTTGCTGCATCATGCGCAAATTGGAGTGTTCATGCATTCGGCGCTGCTTGATAGCATCCGCGAGATGTTCGTAGTTCACGCCGTGGAACGGTTCATGAAGGGTTTCGATGTGTACGAGAACGGCACCATCGGAAATGCCATGCTCTGCAATCGACTTCTCATCTTGAAGCTCCTTGCCTTTATGCAACAACACAATGTAATCCGCGCGACCGAGAACTTTGCCGCTCTTTTGATATGCTGCCTTTAATCACATTCACATCACCGTTAACCCCAGGGATTACCCCTCATCACACGTACCTTTACAGCAGCAATGCTATCGTGGACGTCAAATTGCAGTGGCACCGAGTGCGCCTAGTTCTACCGTCAGACTCCTCTACCTGCCGTCGCCGTCGTCTCACCTCGTTCTTCACATACAATGTCACGGACATGGTCAAATGGGAAATGGGGCGTATCTTTGCGGTGGAAAATTCAGCTCACTATTGATTGGTTTAAATTGACATTTAAAAGTCATCTGATTGGCTGAAACGACTTCAACACAGGACTTTACAAACACCAAGTGAATTTGTTGATGTCGGAAAATTATCCGGCCATGGACCGGGACATTTCGAGAGGGTGCCAATTCGTTCTAGAAACGTCGCGCACGCAGCGATCGGCGCCGTGTGCTTTGAGACGATGGTGCCGCCGTGCAAGAAGCGCAGCAACAAATGTGCGTGTGCCATGGGCAACCTTCGCCAGTCCACTTCAATCGAAAAGGCGTTGAATCCCTCCTGCGGCACAAAGCGACAATATGGCGATTCGGGCCGAGCCTCGAGCAGTTCCAATCCGCCGCCATGATTATCGTTCCTGTACTTCTCGTCATTTAGAAGGACTGTGATTCAAGGATGGGAAGGTGTGGATATCTGTGTCCCGTCTTGTTCGGTTTTCGAGAATCACTTTGGACGGGCGGTACGGTCTAGCCGAACCAGCAATTCGTTTCGGGGTGCCGCGTCTGCAAAAGCCGCTCCTCTGTATATCCCTTGCTTGGGTTGGGGTGCAGAAGTTGCTGGCTGCCTTGGGACTTGCTTTGGTGTCACGGCCACTCCGGCGTGCGGCGGTAATAAGTCTACCAAAAAAACAATATTTTAGATGGTCCCCCTAGGTTTTTCATTGAATTTCGGACCCTACCCCCCCACCTTTCTAATTGCTGGTGTCCACGGCGCAATTTCACGGCATCGCGCGCGGGGCACGGGTCTGTGGAACGACAAACCTCGTCTTTGATGGCGAATTCGACGTGGTGGGCAATCCCCGCCGCTGTGGCGTCGGTCGCGGTCCTGGCGTATGCCCTGGTGCAGCTCACAGTCGAGCCAGAGTACGTTCACGTGTGTGCCATGTACCACGTCGCGCATAATGGTTCAAGGTGTCCCCCAGGTCTGTGAAGAAGAAGCGGCATGCCATGCACTTGCTGAATGAGGTGCAAACGATCTCGGATGCGGTCGTCGTGAAGCTGCATGCCCTGGATGACGATGTCTTGAGTCTCCAGCAGTGCAACCCCGATGAACACGACGACGCGCCCAACGACGTCCCGTTGAACTCATGTACGCTAGGCCATGCTCTGCAACGTCGACACAACAGTATTCTTTTCTAGATTACCATTTCGACTCGACGGGGAAGAAACTTAAGACCAAGTGGGACACATACGACGTGGACGCCGAACTCAACAAACTCGACGAAGAGGAGACTGGGGCTGCTGATGTTGCTGCTGCTAAGCCTTCTCGAAGCCAGGTGAAGCCGCGCCCGTCCACGGCAGTCCTCCTACGCAAAGTCGGCGAACTCGAGCACGAATTCGAAGCCGTACGTCGTGCCATCCTCTCCATCGTCGAGAGTCACTCGACAGCCCTCTGTTCGAATCGTTCTAGTGGATGCATGCGCGCGACCTCTCACGGCTGTGCAATAGATCTTGGCCTTCTTGGACACAATTCGCGGCGACGAAGAAGTTCGCATCGTGCGCAAGCAGTTGGTCGGCGCCATCAACGACACATACCTGGCGACGCTAGACCGCATTAAAGCTCAATTAACAAACTAGACGGACACAGCTTTCCCGATATCTCCATCCACGATCGATTAGGTAGTTGCGGACGACGCAATCGCGGTGCACACAGCGAACCATGCGACTCTAGATACCCGAGTGCACCTGCGACATGGTCTGCATGACGTTGCGAAAGAACGTCGGAGCATGAAGACACCCTCTTGCAATGCCGAGGTAGCAACTCGCTTGCTTCATGATCCCGATCTCGTTCAGGTCTTGGGCTAGGCGGTAGGCCTGGTCAAAGTACCGTACAGCTTTGTCATGGGCGCCATCGCGAGTGGCAAGGAACCCGAGCTGCATCCACGCATTCACTTCGGCACTCCGATCTTGGACGCTCTGAATGAGCTGAAGGTGCTGGTCCATGCACGCCGTCGCGGTCGGGAGGTCGCCCTAGACGTGTGCCCCCTGTGACAAGGTGCGCCGTGGAGTGTGAGCGATACACGGACCTGCCGACTGGCCAAGAGGCCGAGGTTGCCCACCGCCAGACTCTGACCATACGCGCTGTTGAGTCGAATGGCCACCCGCAGCGCTTCTTGGTGGTGCTTGGCAGCTTCGGCAGCCTACTCGCGACGGTTCCGAGTGTTTCACAGGGAGGCAGCTCCAAACCCACCCGGCCGAGGCTACCCAGCGTGAGCCCGACGTTTGTGTGCGCGACAAACTGCCCGGCATCGTCAACGTTCATATCGGCGTGGTGCTGGTGGCATGTGAGAGCTGCTTGAAGCGCCGCGCTGTCGGGATCCACGAATCGACCGGTGTACGCGACGGCCCCCGACGAGCTCAACTGCGTTGACTTTTGTCAGCGGACGTTGGATCGACGACGTCCTTATCGCGACAGGATGTGTCAAGTGAGTACCTGGTAGTCTACGCCAATGCATGACATCACGAGCGCGCGGAACGACAAGTTGTCCGAGTTCTCGAGCAAGGCAAGCGCTTTCTTGTACACGTCAATAGCAACGTCGAAGTCGTCCACGTTGTCATGAACAATGCCCATGCTACTCTGCAGAGTTAACGCTCGTGGACGTCCTCGGCCATCGTGGGCCACGACGCGCACCAAAAATACGCCAGCGCCTCTTGCTCTACTCGGCCAGCCCGCTTGCTTGATGCTGCCTAAGGGAATGCTGATAAGTTGCCTAGGACGAGTTCCAGCATGTGTGTGTGGATGCAGTAGCGCAAGACGACGAGTCGATCGGTGCATGCTGCACACACGCACACGCGGCGCGTTTCCAAGAGCGCGGCGAACCAGCATGGCAAAGTCCTTCAGTCGCTTCGCCTCGACGGCCGTTTCTTTTGGTTTGTCCAAGTTGATGCTGCTGTAGTTGTTGCCACTGGTCAGTGGCGACGCCGCGAGCTTTCGGCGGGCGAGCGCGCGCGCAGAAAACACATTCAGGCGGACGCGGGCATCCCTTGTCATGCTGGGCACCCGCGCGGGCGTGTTCATCTACGCCAGTTCATCCATCACACTGCAACGTGGGGTCGCTGTTCGCACCATGAGCGGTGCATCCATGCGCTGGGGCAAGTCGATTTGCGGCGTCGACTCGGCAAGTTGCGAGCCTTGGGTCGTGGGCGTCATGGGCTCCAAATCACTACAACGCCTCGCCGTGAATCACGATGCGTCGCGGGGTAATCTGTATTCGTCTTGGAAGATTACATGGGCGGGGCCAGTGGTCGGCCATCGCGGATCATCATCGGCTGGCCGTTGGTTGCACGACCGGTGGCACAATTGGTTACAAATCCGTTACGAGAGGCGCAGAGGCAAAGCGCGTCCGTGCGCGTGCATCTCTGTGCAGAGGGTGGATGTAGTCATGCGGGGAGATGGGTGCACTGCATGGACACGCTGTCCAGCCCCCTTTACCACTTGAAGCCTCTCTGGTTCAACCTCGAGTCGCCATCCCGTCCACATGACATAGCCTGCAGGTCGAACCACTCCTCCTCGGTACATGCTTGTACCACCGACGTCGGGCGGGCGGCATCCACGGATTCGAGGCCACGCAACAATGCGGTGAGGGACTCGCCCATTCTCGGTCGATGCGATGGAGGGGCGTTTGGCTGCATATTTGGGGAATCACTTCGACCGCCCGATGTTCGAGCGACCCCTTTCAAGGGACGATGCCCGAGCGAACGGACGTCGTTCGATGCTTCCCAAGCAACCGTCCAAAGCATGGAAGGCCAGCGAACATGTTCGAGTACTTGTCACCAAAGTATTGCATTCGTACCCTTTCCCTTCAGAAGTGCTACATGCATTCGAGTGCATCCTGCCACGCAAGGCTTGAGTGTAATGCAGGGGTTGGCTAGCCACTGGTGATGAACTTTAGCCCCGGGAATACGTAGAGGTTGCCGTGCTGTGGTCATCCCTTCGGGCACACTTGGACCTCGAATGAAACCAGTGCTTGTACTGGTTTGGACATGGTGGCGTTTCGGTGACCTTTCCTCCGTTTGTGCAGCTGGGTAGCCTAGCTCTCTGGCCGTGCACAGATAGCAGCGAGCAACGACTTTGGCCGTCACCGAGTCGGACGTTCGTCAAAGTCGTGAACTAGCGCGACGGTCTGCTGTGGACCTTTTGCGCGCATCTCGGTGGCATCATGCAGACCTGCGGCAATGCGCCCAAAGACGAGCGTCAATGAAACCTCCTGAGACATTACGATGCACGTATGGCGTCATCCTACTCATTCTTCTTCAATGTGCCCGACCTCGACAACCATAATGCCTCAAGTTATCTTTGCCACCGTCGCATGCGCTGCAATCACCGCCGAACAATCCGTGCTCACGCTGAACGCCGATGAGTTTGCCGTCCTCAGCGGGGCACTGGCCGAATGGCGTCAGGAGTTTGGCGCGAACTCGACGGCCCAAGGAGTGTCCCTCCAACCAGCCATCGAGTCGATCAGCGAAGATGAGCTGCACGACACCAGCTTCTCCTCAAAACCAAGTTTGCCATGAAGCCCGCGCGACTAAGCCTCACACACAGGGCAACTACCATCACCTCGTAACATTACTGTTGGCAGCCGAGTTTTGCAGATTACGTCAAGGGTTCGTTCGCGGACGGCCAGCGCCACTTGCGGAAGAGGTCATTCTGGACGACGTGTGAAGTGAGACAAGTAGTCGCTCGTGCTGGGCCTTTGCCACGGTCAGTGTGTGCGTCTGCTCACCTCATTGCCTCGGGTAAGTTCTACAACTAGTCCGAATGGCAATTCACGAGCTCCTTCACGAAAACGGAGGTAGCCAAGGTTGCAAGCGCGGCTGGCCCTGGTACGCCATCCACTGGATGGTAAATGGGGCGGGCTTGGAGCAAGGTTACCCCTATGTTACCCAAACTGGCACGTGCAAAACGACTGCAAATGGCCATTGCGTCGAGAGTTCGCGTGTCAGGGGGTCTTGCCTCACGTCTGTCTTAATCATCCAGCTCGTGTCCATGACCATGTCGATAATGCCGGAAGGGGATTGTGTCCCAGTGCCTGGGAGCTCAATCCGATCACGCTGACATTGCTGTGAACTTCGCTGCCACATCGCACCGCATCAAGAATTCGTGGGTCGCGAGGTGGCGGGGAGCTGATCGATTCGCCTGGCCCTTGGTACGATGGACATGCAGTGTGATTTTTTGCAAGATCCAAGAAAACCATACCCCCACGCCGTCGAAGCCAGCGCCGACGTCTGGCAGCCCCAAGCCGACGATTTCACAGGCACTCCCGAGGACTTCCCCAACGCTCCAGTCCAGCGACCACCGTGGGAGCAACTACATCGCTTGCGAGAGGCTGCTGCCGGGCCAAGCCTTGCCTTTCTCAATGGACCAGTGCGTTCAAAAGCACGGTGTTGGTGTGGTGTGCATGAGCCCCTCATCGTTGCTCTGTCCTTCAGTCCTCGTTGGATTGGCGTGCTCAATTGCAAACATAAAATGGAATCGTTTTGTGAATCAAATCCAAAAGTCTCAGGCTAAAGCTGCTCA